TCCACATCTGCTTCAACTTGAACTCCTCCACTCTCTTCTCATCAGGAGTGATGGTTGCACACTTTATGCCAACATTGTATTTCTTTATGGCTTCAGCAGCTTCCACGGTTACTTTATCATTTGTAGCATCACGATGCTCAATGCCCAAGTCATAGCTGTAAGGAACCCACAAAGATGGTCAGAGCTGCCCAGGACATTTTTTTATGTCCAACAGGAAAGAAACTAGATCTCATATGTGCTTGTGAGTGTAGTTCCAGCATTCTGTCATAACTGAAGTTGTCCTTCTTCCAGTGCAAATGCTGCTGGACTGGAAGAAAATATGGACTTATACAGTGACTTCTGCTGCTGGTAGGAGGTTGGAGAAAGGAGAATTTCAGTTTACAGCTGAGGTTCTCTGTCAGCATGGGACAGTGTCTCCTCCGCCTTCCCTTTCGAGCTTTCTGCAATGGCAGCTTTCAGTCTAGGAATCTGATAGTATGGAGCACCATAATCCCCAGATGAGTATGGGCCTTTGTCTCAAACCTCTTGTGCTGAGGGTTCTGGGTTATTTCACGTCCTGAGCTCATGAAGCTCCAACTGGCTTAAAAGCTGCTTTGACAATGGACCCACAATCCTACTCTGGCAGGAAAACAGCCAATATTCCCCTCAAGCAGCCAGAGGAAGCACATCTCCCTTACTCACTGTTTTAACAGCTTTGGGAAAACAATGGGTGCCCAGCATGGGACAGCCCTGAAGCATGGCCAGCTGTACATAAATGTAACCCTTGTGCTGCCTCAGCCAGGAGTTTGCTTTCCCTCCTCCCACCTCTCTTTAAAAAGGGATGCTGTCCAGACTGTATGCATGCATTATGCTGCTGGGTTCGTGTTTGCTTGCTTCTCAACACCAGCAAGCAGAAAGCCTGACGTAGATGGCATACAAATGACTCCAGTAGCAGGGGAAGAGGTTAGACTTGTGGGTTTAATTATGGCAGATACCACTGAAGGCCTCTGTACACATGGCTAGGAGAAATGTAGCTGGATGCCTCTCTAATAGTTATAGCTGGGTGGCAAGAAAGGGAAGAGAATATTTGATCTTCTTGGCCAGATGCTGGAGATAGCATGCCCTTTTTGCAGTACCAGCTGCTAGTATTTGTTTTTTCCAGAAGGGAGTGGAGAAGCACAGACTCAGGGAATAATTGCAACAATTAGCTCAGTGTCAATAGCAGAGCTCAAGCTTACAGGCAACAGGGCAGAGTCTATGCCCTAGAACCGCCCTTTTGTCCTCTGGGCAGATCTTCAAACAGGTATGGCAAGCAGCCATAAGCCTGCTCAGGGTCCACAGGCTAGGCTGCAAGTCAAGGAGTGGCTGAAACATCCCGTTTGTAACTGTTTAGGCTGCAGGGAGTGACACAAACTGCCCAGGTGCTGGGAAGCCAAGATACAGGAGATAAAAATACAAGCCACGTCTGTGAGAGACCTTCTTGGAGGTACAGTACAGGAAAAAAACTAACTCACAATTACGCACTCACTGCTCACTGCTGTGAGGAACCCCAGAGGGGCCAATCTCAGCATGATCAGCCTAATGACACATGCAAATTGCAGTACTAAGTAGCCATGTGTCACAAAGAGCCATTACCTGTGCAAATCCAGATCCACATAAGGAAAAATCAGCTTTTCTTTAATCAGTTCCCAGATGACCCGTGTCATTTCATCTCCTTGCATCTCCACGACCGAGCCTCCATGGATTTTTTTAGACATCTTGAGCTGCAATACATAAAAAAAGCCCAACCTAAGTTAAAAATTCCTGTATCCTGCACTTTAACAACACAGCCAAGAGAGGCACCAACATAGCATACAGGTTCTCTCCCAAAAGTCTTGAAGATAACCACAGTTTGTCCCTAGTTTCATGCTAACTGGTATTTTTCTTAGAGCTCCAGATCCTAGGAAGACCTATGTGAGGATAAAAAGGTTAATATCTGAGAATTAAGGGCATGTGCTTTAATTATGGTTGTACAAAAGAATTCGAAAGCATGACCAAATTTTCCCCCAATTTCCACATAAATAAATAAGCTTTGTTTATTTTAGATTTCACAAGTTCTAGTCCAGTTGCCTGTTTCTCCACCTTCTTCTGAAAAACGGGTTAACGGACATGATTACAATGACACCTCATATTGCTGGCACTATGAGGATTAATATATTGTCAGCTTCTTTATTAGCTTCCTCCTCCCAGGAAGGAAGTAAACAGGTAGAAAAATCCCAGGGCTAAACATCAAGAGTACTTTCTCGTAGCAAGCTTTATTTCTACTGTTAAAATAAATACTGGACAGATTTGTTTGCTGTAGGGAACAGAGGTTTCCTGAGATATTTGTGAACAGAGCCTCAAACAAATCAACTTGAACTCTGCCCTTCTATTTGCACTTTGTTCTTCGTCAAAAAACCAGCCACTAAACTGCTTTAACACAGTTCTGTGCTTTCCAACACAGTTTCAATGCTCTCAGCTCCGATTATGCAAGAGCAATGACTTGGCAAGTTCCCCCTTCCAAGACAGTCCCGTTCTTGTGTGCAGCTGTTGGGATACTACAGTAAGATACCAAGACCTCTTGCCTCAGGTTGCAGTCTCACAGGTACCGAGGCCATGAATGATCCAGAATGAATGGTCCTACTGTCCACAGAATCTGTTCGTCTAGACAGAGTTATTCAGAGGTGTGAGGTTTGCAGTGCAATAGCTCCAGGTTACAAGCATGTGGGGAGGTTACTTCTAGGTTCAAATTTTTCTCTCTTTTTTTTTTTTTTTTTTTTTTTTAAGTTTGGCAAGAGAATAAACTTTCTAAGCTATGTTCACAGAATCAAGCTTTTCCAAATCTCTTAAAGAGCCAAAATTAAAAAAAAAAGAAAAACAAAACAAAACAAAACCCAAAAAAACACTAAATGAGGTTGTGGTACTGAGACTCAGTTTACTATAAGCACATAAATTTGAAAGATAAACTACTTCAGACACTTCTATCCCAAACAAAGTCAGTATCTTGGCTTATATTAGGCCTCTCTAGTCCTCAGGGAAAACTTGAGTTTCATATGACAACACTCTGTCTGAACGCAATTTATTTATGCAAATATTCTGGGCCCTATTTTAAATTGTGTCTATCTAAATAAGGACTGTATCGCACTCCATGGCCTAGGCACAGAATTGCTACTCAGGAGACTTCAATTTTACTTTTGGCATGTAGCCTGAGAAACAGTATGATTCATTTAAGTAAAAATGTAGACAGGCACCAACCCACCATCACTTTTTTTGTGGTTTGGTTCTATCTAACTGAGGCAAATCAGAGTATTTCAGTCATAGCAATAGTTTTTGCAAAGCTGGCTACAGAAGCATGCAATGCTGCTGTCACACGGAGAGCACAAAGGCAGGTGACACGCCTCTACTGAGATACATCTGCACTAATAGGTGGAAACAACAGCTTCTTTAACGACTCTGACAGCATCCAGCACTTTTATTTGATTATGACCCTGGTACTCTTCCCCTCCTCAGACAGCAATGTCCCCACTTTCTCCATGAACAGGGGCACTACTGCAGTAGCATCCCCCTCCTGCACACCAGAGCCAACATGCCAAGAGGCTACTCTAGAGAGCACACATTCCCTGGAGTTAGCTCTGTCACTCTTCCCCTTTGATTTTATACTAAACTGCCGAAAGCCAGCAAGTTCTTTCTCCTACAGCAACCCTCCTTTAAATACACTTAACTCCGGCAAGTAGCCAAAGCAGCTTTAGGGAAACTGTGCATTTCCAAATACTCCTTGGTCCTAAAGAAGGGCTCGGGGCCTACAGTCAATAATTAACTATTGCAACAAGTCCTTGACTCTGGTTTACAGACGCTCCCCTCGGAGGAGGTGCACTAGCTGTCACCAACCCACAGCTCGCCTGTTTTTCGGCCGCTCCGCCCCTTCCCCGCCCGCAGCCCGGCCCGGCCCTGCCAAGGCGATCTCCTGGCATAGCGGGATGTGCCCCCCGGGCCGAGCCTGCAATCCCGGCCCCGGGGAGGGAGTTCAGCTCTGGCAGAGGGGAGGGGGCACGGGGGGAACACGCGAGGGGCTCCGCGCCCGGCCCGCGCTGGGGACACACGGACTGCCCAGAGAGCCCGACACAGCGGGAAGAGACACCCAGCCCAGCCCAGCCCGGGCCGGGCGTCGACTCCGGGGTGCAGCACCCGCAGCTCCCGGGGCACCTGCAGCGACACCCGCGGCGGGCGGGGCGCGGCCTCAGGAGTCCCGCCCGGACCGCCTGCGAGAAGCCCTTAAACACACACAATCCCGTCCCTCGGGGCCCCGCTGCGGGGCGGGGGAAGGACAAAGGGTGTGGTGCGGCCGCGGGGCCCTGCGTTGGTGCGGATCCCCGTTACCTGCGGCGGAGCCGGTGCGGTGCCGTTCCGAGCGCTGGGCGGTGCCGCTGCGGGTCAGCACGGCAATAATACGGGGTCGGGTCGTGCGCGGGGCCTTTTATGCGGCCCCGCCCCGCCCCGCGGCGCCCCCTGGCGGCCACACCGGCCCGGCCCCGCCCCCCGCCGGGACGCTAGCCCGCCAGGGGACGCTGTGCCACCTCAGGCCCGCCCGAGCCCCGCGCGCAGGTGCCCCCGCTCCAGGCCCCGCGGCAGCACGGGCCCCGCCGCCGCCGTTCCGGACCGCGCCCGTTCCGCGCCCGCCCGCCGCGGGGGCGGTCCCACAGCGCGGGGTGCGCGTGCCCACAGCCGTGTGGGCCCTGCAGCAGCCGCGCCGCCCGCCCTGAGGGGCTGGGCGGGAGCCCCGAGGAGAGGGTGGAATAGAACGGAATATTAAAGATACATATGATATATTGTGGTTTCCCGGGGGGCACGCCAAACTCCCATCCTTCCAGCGGCTCCCGAGGCGGGGCGGGGCGGGGGGCGGAGCGCGGGGCCGGGCGGCGGGCGGAGCGCGCGGAGTGTCGATTGGCGATGCCTGTGCCGGCGCGGCGCGGTCGGCGGGCGGTTGGTCGGGCCTGGCGGCGCCGCCGGGGCCGGGCCGGGCGGGGCCGGGCGGTGAGGGAAGAGCGGCGGTGCCGCCCCAGCCCGCGCCCCGCTCCGCACCGGCACTGACACCGACACCGCACCCACACCGACACCGGACCCACGGGCAGCAGGTGAGTGCAGCCCGCCCAGGGCCGCGCGGTGCCGCCCAGGCCCGCAGCGGTGGTCCCCCTGCTGTATGAGCCCTTTGCGGGCGCCTGGCCCGGCCCCGGTAGCGGCTGCCCTCGGCGCTCCAGGGATCGCTCCCCGCCGCTCCCTGCCCGTGCCGTGGCAGGTGACCCCGCGTGTGCCATCCCGAGTGGGGGGCACGGGTGTGCCCCTCGCAGGGGGAGCCGGGCGGAGGTTGGGAGGGAATTGCGGGAGTTTGGCCGGTGCACCCGGGGTGTGTTATCCGGATGCCCGGGAGTGGCGTCCGTGTCACAAGGAGGGGCCGGACCCTTCCGGCCCCGGGTGGTTGTGGTCAGTTTGGTGTGTCCCGGGGTTTCGCGGAGCTGCTGTGGATGGAGCAGCTGGACGCGTGTGGAGGCTCACAGCCGTGCTTGCTCTGTGCTGTGCCGGTGATGACCCGGTGATTGCCGAAGCTGCAGCCTCGGGCCAGTTTAGATGCTTTCCCCATAGCTGTTGGTGAGGTGATGTTCTCTGGTTTTCTGTCTGTTGACCAAGATGTGCACCTTGCTTTCTGATTTCCCTTAATACACAAATAAGTGACCATTTCTTCAGTTTCTTGCAGTGGAGTGGGGTGAAGTGTTTTCCCTTTAGTGGAGAACTAAAGCACTTTAAGAAACGCTGATGCACTCTACAGCTAATTTCTTGTGCAGCACAGAAAATCCAACTGTTTATGGACCTAGTGCCGAGTGCGGTGCTCTTCTTTTCAGTGTGCTTTAATTAGGCTAGTACTGCTGTCACAGAAGTGATTTCTATGTGGTTTTTTTTCCCCTTGAAACTAGAGTTTATTTTTCTGTAATCACATATATATATGTATATATATATTGTATGCAAGTTCAGAGACTTCCTTATTATTTTTGTCTTGCCAGGCTATAGTCTGTTGCTGAAATATGAACATAGTTTCCTATAAAACTTCTGTTTGGCTTCATAATGGCATTTCTAATGTAGTAGTGTGTTTGAGAGCAAAACCCTGTTGTGTGTTCAACATTTAAAAAGCCAACTATTAGTTACCTTTAAGACTGAAGAAACAATTCCAAATTTACCTGAAGATGTGCTCTTGAAGGAAAATTTTCCATCAGCTCTGGTGTTTAAACACTTTCAAATCACCTGTTTGAATAATATTGCTGGAACGAACAACAAAACATACCCTGTCTTACAGGGGACAGGGATGCAAAGGCATTCCAGACTAAGCTTTACATGAAGAACCTGACCAGAGTTTCTCTTGAAACTTAGTGAATGATGCCTCTCCATTTTCTTTCCTAAGGATATGTGAAAAGCAGGAGAAACTCTGAGCTAAAGGTACTTGCTATAAAGAGTAACAAGCAGAAGTCCACTGAGATATCACGTGAATGACTTGCAGATACCATTGTGCATTCTTTGTAGGAGTGGTCAAACCTTGCCACATGAGCTGCATGCAACTTGTTAGCACTTCCAGTGTCACTTGGTAACCACGTGGATTTTCTCTGCACTGCATAGATTCTTTTTTTTTTTTAGTGTGGCTTCTTAGAACTTGGAAGAAACTATTCTAGTCAGTAAAATATGCCTGTTGGTTCCAGGGAACAGTTGTGAAACCTCGAAATCGGTCTTTCGTGAAGGAGTGTGTATCAGCTGCTAAGTAGGAGGTTGTCTCATACAGCATTTTGGTCCTTGACAAAAGTCAGGCAGTCAATCACAGATTCCATCAGCTCCTGTGTTCCTGTTCTGTCAAACATTTATTCAGTCTTGCTTAAACAGATGAAGGTGGTTAGCACCTTGGCCTAGCAGGCTGAGTGAGGCATTGTGAAAGAAACTGTCTGTTGAGGTTAAAGAATATGGACTGTGGGAAAGTATGGCTCTTGGCTGTGACAAAGCTTTGGTACACAGAAAATAGGCTTTACAAGTATGGCTTTCCCTAATACAGAAAATGGTTTGGATTTTCTGTTTGTTTTTCCTTTAATGGAACTCCTGAAAACAAGGAAGTTTGGAGGTGGTAGATTCGACAACAAATAAACTACAGTCTGGGTTGCTTCCCCGGTAACTTGCACAACAGCCTGTATTGTAATGTGGAGGGGAAAGAAGCAGTTTACCCCTGAGCTTAATCTTACAGTCCTGCTTTTGTTTGTAGTTCATTCTGTTTCTCATTCTGAAGTTAAGCTGGCCAAACAACAAGTCTGTCTTGTGCTTGTTCAGGCATGCCTCTCTTCATTTTTACTGTTACAAGGGCTGTAGAAGTCACAACATTAAGAGAAAAGCTGTCAAAGTAAAAACTTTGTTGCGATATGCACGCAGAGTCTCCATTTGGAAACTTCAAGTTCCCATAAAACCACAACTGGAGTGTGTCACCAGTGTAGAGGCTGTTTAGTGCTCTGGATGTTTAACTGGATGCTTTAAATTGCTCTCTGCAGAGATGTTGATCTCTTGTCAGTGACTGGGCAGGGGACATGGGCTCCTAACTCTGGCACTCTTGACCTGTGCTAATAGCAGATATCTGTGGTCCATTGGGTGAATGTCTGCCCCCTAGGATCTAGAAAGAGATCTCTTCAGCTGACTAAAGAGGTTCTATTCTACCACCCCTGTATAATGCATGTTGCTGAACTCTTTCCAGGGCACGTGAAATGGCTGCAGATGACAAACGATCTCCGACACTGGACTCTACCGGTGATCTACCTCATTCTCCCAGCAGTCCGTCTCATCTCACTCACTTCAAACCCCTGACTCCTGACCAGGATGAACCTCCTTTTAAATCAGCCTACAGTTCTTTTGTAAATCTCTTCCGTTTCAGCAAAGGTGAGGGCTGGGGGATTTCGTGTGTGTGAGCTGTGTGTGCCCTCTGCTGCCACATAAACTTGTAAAAACACCTCTAAATATAAGAGCATAGTGTCAGATGGCTGATGGTGAGTCAAGTCTTTTTTGAGGGATGTTGAACTTGCTTTTGGGTGACACAGTAGAGCTTTACTATGGGAGAAGATAGCTGGCATCTTGCAGCTAGAAATTTGTGTCTGCCCATGAAAGTCAAAGACAAGCCCGTTAGCAGATAGCATTCTATAGATTCTTAGCTTGACGTCAGAATTTGCTTTGCCTATGTGAAGTTTTTTTGGGCTGAAAGTAGGAGTAACCCTCTGCCAGCTTGTATGAACAAAATGTGTTCAACCTTCCAATGCAAGTTCTTGTCTCACTTGCTCCGTCCCTCACCTTCCTGTGCATCTTCTACCTTCAGTTGGGTGACATCTGAGCTGCAATAAAGAATTGTATTTATAGGAAGTCCACACTTAATTTGCATAGCTTAGGTGTTCCCCATTAAGAGATCTGAAATCTTGTGAAAGTTTTGTATAACAAAAGGTACTACTTAATTTTGACCTTTGTGCTGTATCATGAAATATGTTCTCAGTAGGCAAGCTCTGAAAGAATTTCATGAGTTTCTTATTTGTTTCAAAGAAACATCCTGCAAAGAGTGGTTGAATGCACCTTGATTTTGTAGAAAGTTTGCATACCTTACTGGAGATGGCAGACTGGTCAGCTGCTTTTGTTTAGTCTGTTCATTATCCAGCTCTGCTAAGCTGCAATGTTTGGGCTGGGGGAAAAGGGCCAAGATAGCTTTTTGCATAAGCAGACTGATCTGTTTAGACTCTTCTTATGCAGAATGAAAAATAACTCCCTGCTATGTAGTTGCGTAGTAGAATAACACCTGTAGTTTGCATAGTAGAATAACACCTGTCATTACTAATTTATTGAAAGGAACATAAGATGTAGTCAATATTGGCTTCACTTGTTTGTTTCTGACAAATGTAGCTGGAGTCAGCAAAGTCTTGTGTTGACAGAATGGGAAAACAACCTTAAAACAACACATGAAATGGGCATGTTACTAGAATCAATGAGAACCTGTCTATACTTGATCTGCTGATGGAAATTAAAGGCTGTGGTAACTTTAGTGTGACCTGAGTACTGACTTCTAACATAACTGAAAAACTCTTTTCACGGCAGAAGCTGATGACCAAGTGTAGCTATTCCATAAAGCAAGAATAATTAATGTTTGCTGGTTTTGTTTTTTAGACACTTTTCACATTAGGGATATTTCTGAAATAGCCTGACAGACAAGTTCTACATACTTTCCTGTTTCCACGATTTCTATGGTACTTTTAAAATGGAAAATTTTATTTGTTTTGTGATGCTTAATCATGATCCAGAAGAGCTATTTGTGAGAGTTTTTTTACCTTTAGTTTTGCATGCACTACTGTTTTTCTTTATTGTGTCTGAACAGTTGGTTTCTTGCTTTTTGTCATCTCCAGATGACAGCAGGCTTTCATCCCCGGCAGAGAGAGCAGAGGCAGGACAGAGTGATCCACAAGCATTGAGTGGTGGCTGGTCCAGTCCTCAGCATCCCACCAGGGCTCAATCTCTGCGATCACCGATTCCTTACAAAAAACAACTGACTGGTGAACTGCAAAGAAGATCATCTGCGACTCTGGGTAATTTCAGCTCTTTGTGCTATAAGGCAGTGTTGTAGTAGCCAGGCTGGGATGCTTCAGGGTGAGGTGAAAGGAGGTGAGCAAAGGTTCATTGACTCCCTAGATTTATAGCAGAATTTAATAAAAGGGTATGCTGCTTCTGTTAGTGAGGTTGCATTTTAACCTCAGAAACATGTTCCCTCCACCCTTCTTGGTATTCCAGCAAGTCAACCTGTTGTTGGGGCTCTGCTCTTTCAATTGGAAAACAATCTGGGACAGAAGAGGCTACCAAAACATATCCAACATTTTAAAGTCACTGAACCTTGATCCTGAAAATTTCTGCTTTGTCTTGAGAGATTATAGTTTCTTAACATGCACATGCTACCTCTAACTTGAGTGCTCAGTCTGAATGGATTTGATGTTTGTATCCTCAAGGGAGTTAAAAATGCAGTTTTTTGCTCGTGGCTGTTTTGAGGAGAATTGAATAGGAAGTTGTGTTTAAATAATTTTTTTTAATCCTACCTAACCTTTGAACTATTGCCAGATGCCATATTGAGTGGGAATTGAATGTAATTTTAAAGGTGCAACTGTGTAGTGGCTTTATGAAGATCAGGAAGAGCTAGGAAGGAGATTTCAGGGGTCCCTTTTGAGATCTGCCTGGTTCCTGTCGGCTCTTTGTGACGGCCTGGAGGAAACTGCTAAGCTGGGTAGCAGTCCTGTGCCAGACAGTATTTCCAAGAGTATGGTGCCTAGTGCAAACAAATCAGATCTTCAATGTTGTTAATGTGGATGGGATTTTTAGAAAAACATCTAGTCTTGGTAACCAGGCAAAAGTCCAGTACAGACAGCTAACATTTTCATCTAAGTCATTTGCATGCTTAGTTGACCACATTTATCATCTTCCTTTTTGCCTTCTAGTACTGTTTGTTCTATTTAGTCGTGCATGTCCCAGTAAACCAATTAAGATTTGGGCTTTTTTTAAAGATCTTTCTGGAATGTGCCAAGTACAGCCATGTGCTCTTGGCTGATACGCCAATCTACTTTATTCTTAATTACCTCGTGTAAATCACTTGGAAACTGCCTGGGGATTAGAGGTTAGAAACCTTCAGGTGAGGGAAGTTGTTCGATATTCAGAAGGCAGAAATAATTTTGCTGTTTGATTTCTGCTGGGATTAGGCAGCCAGGGAAATAAGACCTGGTTTAATGTGTAGAGGAGGAACTGTCGCTGTATTATTCCAAGTCCTTTTCAGGACCTTCATTCATGTCCCTGGAATTGGATTGCAAGTATGCTTAGAAAAATGTGATGATGAATCAGCCTGGAAAGAAGTAAGGTTAGACCAAGCAGTAATTGCTGGATTTTTGAAGAGATTTCTGTGAAATTGTGTGCTGAGTGGCCTGACTCCCTGTTGAGTATTTTCCCCCAAATAACCTTGGTAACAAACATGAACTCTGTGTAATGCAAGTAGAAATATACTGGATTGGTGAGGAGGTTTGGGGGGAGTTTTTAGGCCATCTCACTTTATTTGAAGAGGGAAAGAATTCTTGCCTTGCCTCTCTCCAAAAATCAGGCTTTGTTTTCTTTTTTGAAGTAAACAAGATAATTTTTTCCCTTCATTTGCCTTAAAAGGTGTTGAATAATCAGTTCTTTGAGGATTTCTGAACACTGAGCAGAGGAGAATTTTACTTTTGATGCTGCAGCTGATGCTGGGCTGCACAGATAATCTTAGAAATTATTCTTATATTTAAATAATGAAAAGTAGGAAAATAAGTGATGTGATTTACATAAGCACCTAGACTGGTAGGTTTGTTCACCCAGTGAGTTCAGTGACAGTGAAGTGTCTAATCTAGTTGAGTTTTCTTGTGGTCCTATATCTGCAGGCCTATACATGTCTCTCAAGGCTTCGCCATCCATCACTCAGATACTTTGTAACAGCAGGTGTAGGCAGAAAAATGTGTAAGTACTTCACAAAGGTCACTAACCTACTTGATCTTAAATAATATGTCGAGCAAACTGAAAGGAATAAATAAATAAAAGGGTGCTGCTGGTGCCTCTAAACAGTGATGGAATGAAATCGCTCCTGAGGATGCTGACTGTCACCCTTTATCTGTCCATTAGCTTGCCCTGTCTGTGCAGCAGATACTCTCATTGCTCAGGGGCCTTGCTGGCTCACAACTGCAAGTGCAGAACAACATGGAGGGATGGTGGCTTTTGTAGGAAATTGCCTAGCATCAAATATGTAGGGTTCCAATTGTGTGCTTCCCTTCAGGACTGCTTGCACAAAAACATTATAATAGCACCTTGCTGGCTTTTGTGAAAATAGGAGAAGCTGTGGGTGCCTGCCTTGTGTCAGAGATGGTCTGAGGATTGTGTGGCTGAAGAACCAGTGCTGAGTGTCTGCAGTGCCTTCTGTGGCCTCTCTCTTGCATCCTTGTGTGCTGGAGTAGGGTGCTGCAGAGCAGATGTCACTTCTGCAGTGCCAGAGGACTCAACTGGTTGTGTTGGACTGCATGTGTGTGTGCTGTCAGATGAGGGCTTTCAGGGTGCTGGATTGAACCAAAATAGTCTGAGAATGAGACTGTTGTCACTGAGATAATGTCACAGTAGTAGGGAACTGTAAAGGAGCTTAGTAGGAGTAAGGGATGGCCAGTGATCACATGGAAGGGAAGAACCCCTGAGGAAAGCGTATGGCGGTTACTGGGAATCATGTAGAGCATTAATTATTGCCAGAGCATCTTTTTTAATGAAGAAGATTTTGGAACATGAAAATGCATGTTGTAAAATGAAGTTAAGGACAGCTTCCATTCTTTTCATATCAGGACTTTGTATGGCAGTGACTTGAGGAAGATGTGATATTTGAACTGTGGTAGTGAACTTGAATAGGAAATTATATGCTTTGGCAGCAAATAACTAGAAAGCAATTCACGTTGATTTGTATTAGTGAAACTGTGGCATCCCTGGTGGGATATTTTTTTACTGTTGAAACTGCAAAGCTCTCTGTACCTCCTGGGTTAGTGTATTGTCATACAGTTAAGTTGCAACAAAGGAGTTCTTGCGGTGTTTTTGCCTTGTCATTCACTGTAAAAATGAATGTTAAAATACTATATAAAGTCATGAAAGAAACTCTGTAAAAGCATATTTCCATGATTCAGAAGATGTATAGATTTTGCCAAGATCAGCAGCCATGAATACATAGAGGAAAAATAAGGGCTGCTGTTGACATAGGAGAATTTTTTTTTTTTAATTGCTGTAGGAGTTAACTTTTAGCATAAGAACGATAAATAGGTTAGAAACAAGTCAATTTGGAAATCTCTATGGAATCCCTTTGGTAAACTGAGGTTACGTTCAGTGAATATGTAGATGAGAAGGGAATGGATAGAAGAAACAGTTGCTGCATAAACGGGTATTCCTGAAAAGATGTGTCATGTTGATGTGTTATACTTACGGGCTGAGATGCAGCAATGACAAGTGAAAGTTTGTGGGACCGATCTGATTGTCATAACAGATTAAATAACACTTAATTCAAGTTTATTTTTATTTTAAAACCTAAGTTGTTGTGTGTGACTTGAATTGTGGGTGATGGGGTGTGGGGTTTTTAGGGATTTTTTTGGGTGGTGTGGATTTTTGTGAGTGGGTTTGTTTTTTTATTTCTTTTAGTGGCATATGCTGTGTTTGCTGTCTCAGAAGCATCAAAAATGCTTACCACTGCTTAGATATGTAAGTGTAGGCAACTCTCTTGGACCACATCAAAAGAAGATATGAAATCTCTTCAGAAGTGCAATTGATGGCAGTTGGGATGATGATGCGGGCAAAGCAAGAAAAATGCTCTTACAGCTTGTGTTTGTGGAAGGGAACATGGGTTTTGCAGATTTAATGGTGAAATGAGGAAATCCATTTGCAATGCTGAGAATGTATACATCTGTAAATCACGTGTGCACTAGCTGAGAAAGTGGCTGTGGTATTTCTAATAGTGGTGAGGAGTAAGAGTTACTCTAAGAATGATACGTCTGCATTTTTTTGTAAGGGTGTTGTTTTAGACACAGCGCATCCTATGTCGCAGGAATGATAACTTACATTCTTGCTATACAATACGTTTTTTTCCCAGAAAGGAAGAAATCCCATGATTGAGAAGGAAAAGAGCCAACTGAATTTTAATCTGAGAATCAGTCAGCCTCTCTCGTATAAACAGGTTAGCCATGTGCTGCTACTGCTGATGGCATGTTTTTTTCTCATGTAGATGATAAATCCCTCTTGACGTTGTTTTATATAACAGAGAAAAGGGCATTTAACTAACTAGAACCAGTGTGGAGTTACCTGTGGCATTTCCTCAGGGCTGTGTGTGTTTGTATTTTGGGACTCATCTGCTTGACAAGATTTTGTAGCTAGTTAGGCAGGAGATCTCATAATAATTCTTAAAATTGGAAGCAGCATTCCTGGAAAGGAGATACTCTTGAATTCAGAGGAAGATCCAGGAAGTAAATGCGACATAGATCTTGTGATAGAAGTAAGGAGGAACCAGAGGTTTCTATGGTATTATCAATGTTTTTTTTAAATATGAAAGACCCTTTAATCACTCTAAATACTCACCATAGTATTGCCTGAAAGTCTATTTGTTTGATTTTTTTAAAAATAAATTCCGGCTGTCTGACCACAGAAATGTGTTTAAGCGTCCTAGAATTGCTTAAAACAAATCTCTTATTGTACATAGTAACTGTACGTGGGCTGATTAGCTAAAAATATGTACTAAAAACCTGAAGAGGAGGCATGGACTCCCACGGTTTTAGTCACATTGCAGTGAGGGTTTTGGTCTCCTGCACACAAAGCAGTAGCCTGGTTGTCACTGCACGGCAACAGTTAACAGGCTTGTGCCAGAGCTGTCAGCATTCCCGCTGACATCAGTGCTATCGGAGGCAGTAAACAGAAAGCAGCCATGACTGTTCTTCCTGTACTGGGGCAAGCTAAATAAAACACTAGTCAGATGGAGAGCAACGAGGCTGGTAAGAAACTTTAAACTCTTCAGAAAGTTGTTGATGTAGAAAGGGGACTCTGAAAATGTTTAAATATGTAAATGGAGAACTGTATTTTCAAATCTTTCTGGAGGGAGGGATCCTGTCTGTAACTCATACAGCAATGCTTCAAAGTAGTCAAGTGTTTTATAGGAAAGAAATTAATTGCATTACCTTTTTATTTTATTCTCAACAACTTGGCTTTTTTTCTTAGGAAAAAAAACAAACCAGAACAAACACAAAAACCTTAAATATGTGAACTTCTGGATGCATTTTATTGAGAGCTACTGTTTTTAATAGACACCGAGCAATTGAGTCCTAGCCTTCCCTGTAGTGATTTATAAATAAGTTTAGGTTAAGGCATTGACTTATATCACTCCTAGAATGAATGTGAATATTGTTGCAATTATTTTTTAAGTACTAATATCCTAGAGGGCATTTTTTTATATGAGACTTCAATGCTTTGTAAAAGACTGCTGCAAACTTGCTGTTGTAGGTTGAAAATCACTTCTTTAAAAGATGTTTTCGTTCTCAGAGAACTTGGGTGGCTTTTTGTAAACACAGAGGATGGTATTTAAAATGTCAGTCAAAGCAAACTATCTGGAATCAGAGGCTTCTTTTGGGGGAAAAGAGTGCAAAGGCAAGAAGGGATACACACTGTAACTTTAGAAAATGTAAGATATATGTTGTAATACATGTAATGTAATATATATGTGTGAACATTTTTCCCTCTAATGGGATTTTGCATTGTTATGTGGATGTTGGTGTACCATGAAAGAAATAAGTACCACTCTCTCTTCCCTTTCAGACAATCGAAGGAAAGTAGAACCACCTCTTGGAGGTCATGATCCTCGAACAGCAGTTCAGTTAAGAAGTCTCAGCACTGTTTTAAAACGCCTCAAAGAAATCATGGAGGGGAAGAGCCAGGTAATTCTTTTGAACAATTTGTAGGCCAAATTATCTAGAAAATTATCTGTTTTCTGGGCTTCTCTGACCTTTGTTTTTAGATACATCATGGTGGTTTTGGTTTGGTTTTTTTGATGTTTGAAGGATGAGTGAATAAACTCAAAAAGCATTGTGTGAATGCAGGGGAAACAATTTCAGTTGATGCTGACTTTTGACTTTTCAAACATCTGTCATATTGTGGGGGTTAATCACTGCAGTTACTGGGCTCCTTGTGCATGGACCGGATGCTTTCACTTTAGCCTCCTTCCAGCTTAGGTATTACCTAATCTAGTATTACCTGATGGTTTTCTCCCTAGAAGGCTAACCATGGGCAGGTGAAACTCATTGACTGTCACAAGTAATGAGAATTCTGGTAATTAATTAAATCTGCTGCTTACAGTGGTAATGTTCGGTCAGCAGTATTTGCTTGAAAGGCTTGTCCTGTTAATCAGTTTTGATTTAGCTGGAGAAGGGTCTGGTGGTGGCTACTGACTTGCTGATTTTAACTCCATCTGCTGAGTTGGACCATACCTTTAAGAGGAGGACATAGTTGAGAAAAGAAGCCACAACTATTTATAAGTGATGGTATAAATAGCTGTGTCTGTGGGCAAGACATGAGCAGGCAAAAGTACATTTAATTAAACTGATTGAGGAAGAAAAAGGCTTTTAATCTGCTTTTACAGGTAGACTTTGAGTAAACTCACTTAGCTTCCAGTGCTATTCTGCTTGTAAGAATAAGTTTTCTTTGGTAGAAAGGGCAATATTTTTGAGGGTGAAACAGAAGCCTTTCCTTGCAATAAGCAGGGCATTGAGTGTGACATCTGGTAATAATTCAGTTTGAAGGCCCTAGAGGTTTTCAGACATCTTTGAATGTATTGGAGAAGTGCTGAAAAAGACAGGATGCAACACTAAATGAATATGACCGGGTGTTTATCTGCAAGTGGTATGTTAGTTGTCAGCAGGCTGACTTCTGTACTAAAGGTACATCACTGCCTTTGACTGCAGCCATGTCTTGCTTGAGTCACTCTATGCAAAAGTTTCTTTCTATTGTGGACTTGGCCTGTCTCTACTGTGACCACTGTACTGTTGTAGAAAGCTTTCTCAGATTCTGGAAGATGCTGTTCTAATGAGCATCTACTGCTAATGGGGTCCAGACTCCTGAACCCTTCCTTGTAGGCTCTTAGAAGGCAGAGGGCTGGAAGGTGTCACCAGCAGCGGCTGAGGTTTTAGACACAGTCATGTGCAGATGGGGCAGAGGCACTGCTGCTTGGAACAGTCACTCTTTCTGTGGTAGAGTCAGAGACCTGGCTTATCATGCAGAGCTGCAGCAAAACCTGTTATTGGCATCCCCTGCAGCTTTGCAGCAAGTCCTTGGCAAAGCTCTTCACTGCAAATTTCCCTGTTCATCTTAAAAATTTCTAGATTATCCAAAACACTAGACCGCCTTGAGCAGTCTCCCACCTCTTTCTGTATGAGTTTTCTTTGATGAGGACAGCATGAAAGTGTTGTCTTGTTGATCATAACTGTTCTGGTCTCAAAATTGGTCTAGCAGCTATGTCAAACTTTACTTGGGGAACATCCAAAAATAAACCCCAATTCAGGTATGGGGTTTTTTGATTATGTGAAAATCAGAGCATGGATCACTTTTCCTCTGTGTGGTTACTCTCTTTTTTTGAGAAAATACTTGCAGCAGTTTCTCTTCCTGAGAAAAAACCTGGAGTATTCAGTCCCTCTGAAAAGGCTTATTGCCAGAACTGAACTCTTGCAAAGAGTGTTTCACATTCAGGGCTGTCATGTGACCATTAGCAGTTGTTTCCATCCATGGTAGTTGCAGCTGGTGTGCTCAGAATCATAATTGAGAGATTTGTCTTGCTCTATAGCTTCAACACCAAATGGAAGTTTTTTGAAATAAAAATGAGACAAAAATTCCTGTGACTGCACCAATATATGTTGTTGTCTGCTGAATGTGAATTCTACAGTTGTCTTCTCATGGGAGTTAACCTGGAGTTCTGAAATAACATCAGTTTGGGACACAGGCTTTTACAACTGTTTACTGAGATGTTGAAGAATTTTTTACATGTATCTATAATCCTTTCAAAATATTAGCTGTTGAAATTATCCCCCTGCACTGATAGTTCCTGATAACTTGATTTACCTCTATGTAACAGCTTCAGGTAATGTATGGTGGGGTTTTTACTTTTTCAATGATTATTTTTTTAAAATTTTTTAACTATGCTAGTTGAGGGTCTTTCATGTGCTGGGGGCAAATGAGAGGGAAGAGCAATCAGTACTTGATGTGTTTGTTTCTTTTTGACCTTTACTGCTCATGAAGTTTTTATCTGCTTTGCTTCCATCTTGGATCAAGGAGGCCAAGTCTTACTAGATTTACTCTCAGAGTTCAGATCTTTCAACCTTCTGGCTCCCTATAAAACCACATGAGAAATCCTTTCTGTGCATGTGTGTACCTATATGCAAGAGTGTGTACACGCACACACATACATATGAATATATGAGCACAGTCTACACAGCAGTCATGAAACTAAACATGCTTCTTTTGTTTACAAAAAAAGGCTTTTATCTGCTGTCTTCTTTTGTAGGACAGTGACTTGAAGCAGTACTGGATGCCTGACAGCCAGTGCAAAGAATGTTATGACTGCAGTGAGAAATTTACCACCTTTCGGCGAAGGCACCACTGTCGACTTTGCGGGCAGATCTTCTGTAGTCGATGCTGCAATCAGGAAATCCCTGGAAAATTCATGGGCTACACAGGTAGGGTTTATCTACTGAGGAGCAGAACAGTCTGTCTGTGCTCAGTTCTGTTTGGGCTACTGCATTTGAGATCCTGGCACCTGCTAGAAAATGCTGTTCAGGTCTGTAGTGGGCTTAAAAATGAGGAAAAAGAACCATAGGACCTAATTCTACCAATTGCTTTATGGACAGTGGTGGATTATGCCATACCTGCTTATTTTTATCACACTACATCCATCATGACAAAACAAATATGGTCACTATTTAACAAGGGTATGCACTACAAAAAGTGTGCTCAGGGAAAAGCTGTTCTTAGTAACAGTAGTTTTAAAATTTAATGAGCCCCGTGTTCTAATTGAGTGTGAGGGAGACTCTTTTAGATACCAGTTACCAAATTCTAGACGTTCTAATGGAGGTAGTGTTTTCCAGACATCAGCTGGTATGTTATGTCTGACTGGCTATAGTGGTACCAGCATTTCAGTATGCACATGTGCTCTCTCTCTCCCTGCCCCCACAACCTGTCTCTCTCTTACTGATCTTGTGTTACACGTCAATGGCCTTGGAAAAATTCCCTGAGTGCGTAATTGTCTGAGGTTTTGCCCTTTAAGGGAATATGAGAATTAAACTTGCAAAGAGGTTTTGAAACAGAAAATCCTTCTGTTTTCAGCACTATACACCTCTGATCCTGTAGGAGGAACAGAGTACCATTTGTTCCTGTTCACTTACACTGTCTGGTTCCCCTTTCCACAGGGGATCTCCGAGCCTGCACTTACTGCCGTAAAATAGCCTTAAGCTATGCACACTCCACAGACAGTAACTCCATTGGAGAAGACTTAAATGCTTTGTCCGATTCCGCATGTTCTGTGTCAGTGCTGGATCCCAGTGAGCCGCGCACACCCGTTGGGAGCCGTAAAGCCAGCCGCAACATCTTTCTGGAGGAGGACCTAACCTGGCAAAGGTAAAGTGAATGGCCATATGTTGAGCTCCAGAGTCTTAACTCTGTTTTCAGGCTGACAGCTACCCAGATAAAACCTGGTGGTTTCCACTTAGGAAATTTAGAAGTGTATCTCCTGTAAAAAGAACCTAAACCTGTGCTTGCTTCCAGTATTCTTTTCAAGTTGAAATGTGGAAAATTTTGTAGTGGAGTTTTAAGTTACTTGCAGTTCTTTCTTCTACCTACTGAATCAGTGATTCTATGCCAGTGACAGAGCAGACCTTTATCTTCAGAGTTAAAAAAGATGGAACCAGAATCATTCCTTCTAATCACCAATGTGTTGAGAGGCAAGTTGATGTAACATTGGTGCTTTCCCTGTTCAGGTTTTGAATTGGGCAGGAGAATATAAGGAATGCTGTCTGTGTAAATAAGAGAAAAACGGTGGAAGTAACCACCTGTTTCAAATGAAGTACGATGAAAAAGACAGCTATAAAGGTTCTCTAATCTCCTTTCGAAGTATATTTATTCCTATTGTTCTCAAATGAGGGGATCTTTATATTTGGAACGTGAGTAAAAGAACACTGTACTTCTCTAATAATATGCAAGTTTCTGAGGACCTTGATTTAATTTAATGTATGGGAAGGAAGAAATAATCGGATGTGGTATTTGTGCTCATTTCTCTAAAAACAGAAGAAAAGGAAGATGTGAAACTACTGAGGAGGTCTCAAGTCAGAACCTTTCTTTAACTGAGAGGTAGCGTTAGTGACATGTGCCTCTGAGCAGATCTCTTCTGACAGTATTAAAAGAAAAAAACTCAAACCCAACTGCCTTCAGAAAGTGCCCTGACTCTGGCTTTGCATATTGCTTTTCAGAGTATTGTGCTCCTGTGTGGAAGCACTTGAATAATCAGCTTTAGATCTACATACAGGAAAGTACTTCTGATTTAATGTTATGGTCATTTAAAGCAGTAATGTAAGAACACTTGGGATAAATACTACCAGATATTGAATTGGGGAATAATTATGTGTTCTCTTCAGGTGTACAAAATAAGTAAGGTACTGTTAGTTTTGTCTTCTGATATATTATTAATATCTTTATTATGGCAATTCAGCCGCTCATAGACATGAACATATAAAAAAAGTATTTATATCTTTATTTTAGCAGTCAGAAAATACTGCCTATTATTGAAAGGCTGATAACTTTCTATAATAGAGCACTTGGTCTTGTTGGGAGATGCTGAGTGAACATGGGCTGCTTTTGTGTGTGAGAAGAAAAGAGACTGAGATTCCGTGGTTAATTGTTGCTTAGGAGGATTAACATTTTCTTCAGTGCTTGATGCTCTTAAAATGTAAAACTTTGCAGCAGGCTACAGGGCTTTTCTCAAATACTCTGTCTGGTAGTTCTTGACTGACCTTAAGTGGTTTAAACTCAAAATATTGAATTTAAATGGTACCACAGTTGAAAATGGTGACTCACAACTTCATAATAGAGCAGTGGTTTTTTGTTCTAATACGGGGCTTCTGTGTGAGAAGTAGTTTGTTTCAGAAGAAAATCTAGGAGTTGAGTCTCTTTCCAAAATAATGAATCTGAGATAAGGCTCTTGCTTCTCCTGCTTTCTCACTGCTTTGCAACATGACAAGTGTTTAGGTGGGGTGAGCCTGCGTTTACTTGTCAGACGTTGCTCTACTCTTTGAGCAATTGGAGCACAGAGTTCCTGCTTTGACAAACTTGAAGGGCCATGTCCTTTAAAAGTGAAGGAGTGGTGTACTCTGGGTAAGTACAGCTACTCAGGCAAAGTTGTGTTGCTTACAGTTTCTCATGAAGAGCATTTATCACACCGGAGCACAGCCAGGATGGCCGTATCAGTTGGTGTGCAGTGGCTTACGTCTGATATGGGTTTGCCAACAGGATGGATGGTGTACGAATATCTGCTGTCCTTCCTCTTGGTGTGGAAGTAAAAGGAGGGCAAAGGTGCTAGTGATCAGGTTAAACAGTTGCAAAAGGTTGTCAGGCTATCTTGGTAAAAGCTGTCTATCAGTAGCCGTAGATAGCATTGCTTGGATTGCAAAGGTGATGTGCTGCGGAGGGGGGGCAATGTCTCTACCTCCAAAGCATGAATAGCAGCCTGTAAGGAAGGGATATAGGAGAAGCAAGTAGGAAGGCAGGATAATACAGGAAATGGGAAGGGGCTGTACTGTCTAAGACTTGAATATGAAGAGAGAAGACTTGAGCACTGTCTTCTAGATATCATTGACCTACAGATGGGAAAGATTTCCCTATTGCCTTATTGATTTAATAGTCATGAGTGTGAGTGAGAGGTAACATGACAATTAATTGTACTTTAATTACAGTTGTTCTGATGCTTCTGTGTGTCACAAATCTCTCAAACATCTCTATCCTGCTCCTTTTCATGCAGTTTGATTCACCCAGACTCTGCAACTACCACATTGTCTGCACGCCTTGGCTCTGTCCAGGAGGATGCAGGGAAGTCACCAGCTAGAAACAGGTAAATTGATCATTTCTGTTCTGGATAAACTCCTAGCACATTCTTCACTGTAAGGCCTGTAGTTTTGGGCTTGTTTTTACTGAGCGTGCTGTTACATGTCTAAAATGGGACATGCCACTACCCTTATGTAATGGTGAGGAAAGACCATTTCTGTACATATTCATATTAATAAATGTACTGCTTTTGAAGAATCTGTCATTTGCTGCTGAGTTGGTCAAACAGAAGTGGTGATGAAGAGGACAAATGGAAAGAAGTGGCTAAGAAAGGTGCAATTCTGAGAAAGCTGAAGAAAGGGGAGTAATGAATACTTGGTAAAGGCAGGCAAAGACTGAGGTCATGGAGGAGCAGAGGTGTAGGTATTTTTTATTTGTTTGAATTGTGTGCGTCCTCATTTGCTCTTCCATTAAGGATAATCTTATTTAAGTTACCAGGCTTCCTTGGGCTAAAATCCCTTCATAGATCTTTATGCAAGAGTGCTGGAATGAACTTTAAATTGTTCATGAGAGCTTTAGTATAAGTTGTGAGTGCTTGAGCTTAATCCTACTAAATAGGCCGGTATTAGAAGCACAAGCTCCCACTTCACAGTGCTTCTGCTATGGTACTGATTACATACTTCTCTTATGGTTAAAGTGAGGAAATAAAGGTAAGGCAAGGATGCCTTACAGAGCAAAGATAATCCAGATTTCAAAATTGAAATCGGGAGATGTTCAGAGATTTCTTTGCATTGATGTTACAGGAATGCAGAATGTTTAGCAATTTGAGTGATCTGGCAGGACTAGCAAAGACTAGGGAACTCAGCTGAGAAGGATACCGACTGTGACTTTTGGAAAAAGGCACAAAAGGATCAAAGCTTGGAGCTTTTATCTTCTGTGGGATGAGAATGGTTAGGAGGAGATGCATGCACACTGACTGTACAGCTGAGACCCAGCGAACTTGCCTGGGGGAGTAAAATACTGGTGAATAAGCTAGTATCAAAAATCAATTCTGGGCAAACATGCAAGAGTTAAAAGTTAATAGTCCAGAGTTAAAAGGTCAATGCTAAATATCTGCAGTGACGTCAAGAAATGTCTGAAACCTTGAGGATGGTCTTCTACTTCCTCTTTGAATTGATGTTGTCTACTTTAAAAGGCCTTTGCGGTTTGTTCACATTTGTAATAGCAGGAGGGTTCTGAGCTTCAGATGGCAAGCCAAAATTGCTCATTTGAGTTACAATTTAACTTTCTGGCTATTCGTGGCCTCACCATAGTACTTACCTAGCTGGATACATGTAACAATGAGGTATCTGCCAAAATTCTGTGTGGAAACAGCGCTATTGGCTTTGGGCTAAGCAGTGTTAGCCTTTAGATCTTCTCAAAGCAGCTGTAGCCGTTTCTTTGAGAAAAGCTTGACTGTGCCTCTTTCTAGATGAGGTGAAGCAAAAAAGATGCAAGTTGCAAGCAGAGGGATTCAAACTGTTCCTTTGCAGATCCTTCTAAAGGGTAGGCATTTTCATTGCAAAATCTCACTCTGTTTTAAAAAAAAGGTACATGTGGGACTTTATTGTATGTAATTGTTGGTGATAAAGACACAGATATGAAATCTGGATGTTCTAGCTCTTGCTTAATGCCCAAATAAAAAATCCCTGCTGCTTTTACAGGTAGGTGGCACAGTTAAACAAGCTCTTGCAAAACAACTGGGAGGAGTGCTTAACGATGGACTTCCATGTCAGTCTCATTTTCCACATAAGATTACTTTCTGTTAAGCCGCATAACTCCACATAACTCTGCCAGTTCTAACTTTGAGATCATTTGAACAGTACAGAGTCTTAGCCTTCCATGAATGCCTGACGATGACACAAAGCTTTTGCTTATCACCCCTAGATGTATATGGATGTAGGACCAACATAGTTTCCTTTGATTCTGCATATGACTTATAAAAGGACCTGACTAAACCCCTTTATCCTCAAGAAACAGAGGAAAAAAAACCAGTAATTTTAGACTATTGTACCTTCAGTGCTAGTTCCTTGAAGTACAAAAGCTGAAATAGGGTGGCATTACCATTTCATGTCTGGGGTCAGCCACATCATACATTGAGAATTCTTGGGAATAGCAAGCTCCATGAAATTATCTGGGTTTCGTTCCAAAGGCTAGAAGCTGACAACAGCTCTCATCACTGAGACTGCTGCAAGCCTTGTAAGTTAGTTCAGCATTGGCCTTTTGAGCTTCCCTGTTGCTCTATGCAGAGGTGTTTTCCATCCTCACTCCTTAGAGTAGTGTTAGCACTAATAGCCTACACTGCATGCTTTTTGCTGCTGTGTGATGAGGAGTTGCACTCTGGTTTTCCAGTCTCAGTCTAGTTGTGTGTTAATGGAGCAGAGGGTATCTGGAACTTGTATTTGCATTTATAACTTTGCAATGATTATTGCAAAATGGTGTGTTTGTTTGTACTGGAGTGCATAGCCAAGATTTCCTGACAGCTGGGCTGAGATAAGGGTGTACCATATCGCAGTGCAAGGAAGGTTGCCAGTGACCTCCAGCTTCAGAAGGTGGTTTAGCCCCTCTGGGGAACAAGTGCTCAAACTTTCAGACTCTACAAGATTTTAGCAATATGTTTGAGAGTTGAGGACAAGGAATTTTAAAAGGGGCAAGGAGAGGGGAAAATCTCAGTGCTCTGTTACAGAGATCCTGATATTGACTGCCTATGCTGACATCTGTCTTGCCTCCAAACTGCTGGAGCTTCTGATTATGCAGCATTCCATTCCTTCCCCAGTCTATTCAAATGCAGACATATATGAATTGGTGTGTCTAAACTTAGTTCTAACTGCTTCGTACAAAGAACTTTACAGAAGTTTATGTTTAACTTAGAAGTTCCAAAGCAATACACTTGCTTCCTAGGGATCCTTTCTTCTGCTTTGACAAGGAAGAAAGCATTAAACAATGAGTCTCTACTGACCAGGGTAAATGATGTTACAGGCTTGAGTTTGTTTTTAGCATGCTATAAGCCAAAGGCCTGCTCTGGTGAAGCCCCACACAGTAACCCACTTCAGTTCTTCTCTGTCCCACTACAGGTCAGCCAGCATCACTAACCTGTCCTTGGATCGGTCGGGCTCACCCATGGTGCCTGCTTACGAGACGTCGGTCAGCCCCCAGGCCAGTCGCACTCATATGAAGGCAGAGACCAGCGAGGATGAGCGGAAAATCCTTCTGGTATCTTTCAGTCTTCTGTTTGCCTTCCTTGTGTCATGCAGTAGGAGTGTTTTGCTGCCTTTAAGGCCTCTTCTATAAGCACTCTTACCTGAACCTCTCCTTCAGGTGGAACAGGGATAGAGCATGTTGATGTTGCTTTGGACGTGACTTTCTTCCTGAAACGAATCATAGTTTCATGTGGTGTTTGCATGAAGATCACAGCTTTGGTCTTGATAAGTGTGTTATGCAGTGTGGAGTTGGTGTATGATGGCTCCTTGTGGAACCTGTCATGGTTGCAGCTCTAATGCAATGATCTGATTTTGTATTTCTCCAAGTTGAGATAATTCTTTTCATAGGCCAGGTAATCAGAAACTTCAAATGGCTGCTTTGACATAGTTGCACTGTGATGAATGAATTAAAGCTGTTACAGCTTATTGGGCCAAAACATAACTTGGCCCCTGCCTTTGTTTTCAGAATAAGTAAAACATTTTGTAGAAGGTTGTAATGACCTACTTTTTCAAAGAAAAATCAATGTGCAATAGTATTCTGTGTAATCCTATTATTCCTTCCCCACAGAGGCAGTGTTGTAGGTTGCAGTTACTGTACAAATTTCAGTAAAACATAGTGTTTCTTTTCTTTGAGGGAAGGGAAGTGTTTTCAACCATGGAGGCAAAGAAGTTGCAGAGAAGGGAAGGCAGTGTTTTTCACATATTAAAAGATTAAAGATTGTTCCCCACTGCCTGTTTAAAATCAGGAAGGCTAGTTGTGTTGTTGGGTTCTTCCTGCTGTCAGCAGAATGCATACAAGTGTTCCTGAGGGTGCAGAAACACTAACTTATATTTAGTTGCAAAACTCCTTTCCAGGTTGCTCTGTAAATGGATAACCACAAGAGGTAGGGACATGTTTAAGGCACATCTTTATATCACCCTGCTTCATGCATATATGTTAATGCAGAAACAAGGAAATTTAAACTGCTGTGAATGCAACTTGAACCAAGACTTTCAAGTCCCAGTGCACTTTAGCTTCACTTTGTTTATTTTTTGGTCCATTTTCTCCCTTGGGGAAGAAGAGGACTGGTAGTATCACTTCTGTTTATGTAAGAGCAGAAGACACAGTGTCAGTAAATGTAGGATTTTCTATGCATTCCCTCTGTTTGTTTAGTGCCTTTAGCATGTGGAGTTATCCCTATATCAGCAGTTAATTTAAAGCTTGACCTAGTCCATTCAGAAGACTAATGACCTTTGTTCATAAAATAAAGGTGAGAGAGGTTGTAGATACACTGGTGTAAGCACATACTTCTGTGAACTAGAGGTCAAAATCCTTGAGTTAAAAGGATTTGCTGTGTTCTGCCAGGTTGTCCAGTTTACTATATTCTCAAGTACAAGGCAGCTGAACTGTGGAATCTCCAGTTGCATCAAATCATGTGATCCTATCATGTGCTCTGTTACTGATCCATTTGACTCTGTACTTGGTACAGAAGGGGAGCTACTGACATTGGTTTTAGGATAACACCCATGACACTGCTGGAACTAAGAGCAGAAAGCCAATCCAGTTACAAAAGTGGAGCAAAACTCTTGGATCTCAGGGCACCCTTGGGGAAGTGCAATAATGTGGGTCTGGCAGTTAACTGTCAAGCTGCAACTAGTTAAAATTTAATTAAAACTTGTTTTTCTGTTACACAAAAATAGAACAAATGAGGCATTTGAGAAAGTGAGCTGCAGTGTCTCTTCTCCACCCCTTGAGGTGCTGTGCTGCTTTCTCAAAATAATCCTAGATCCTGATTTTTCCCTCTGCAACAACAGATTGTGCTGTGCCAAGCCACAGCACGTATGGGAAGGCAAAAGGGGCCAGGTGCAGAGAGACAGCTCCGTCACGAAAGTCAGTGCTCATGTTTAACAGGCCCAAAAATAAGTCTGAGTGCTTTTGATCTAGAAGCTGATGTGAAGGCCCAGGTTGATGCCTTTGAAACCAGTGCTCAGATTAGACTGGTAAGTAACTTGCACATCTCCCTTTCCAGGACTCAGTCCAGCTGAAAGATCTGTGGAAGAAAATCTGCCATCATAACAGTGGGATGGAGTTTCAGGACCATCGCTACTGGTTGCGGACACATCCCAACTGCATTGTGGGAAAAGAGCTGGTCAACTGGCTCATCAGAAATGGGCACATAAGCACAAGGTAAACTTGATGCTTTAGTGCAGCAGGTGTGTTCTGTCTGTGAGAGGAGGTTGTGAGTTTGAGCTGGTAGAGAGTAGTACCTTAGACTGCAGAGGCAGACTCCTTTTTAGGGAGATGAGAAAGAAAATTCAAATCTCTCCTTTACTGCCTACTGGAGTAGGCACCATTTTGATTCCATATGGCCCCAAACAACAGGAGACAGGGGTTGTCTTGTTTGGAAACCAGTATGGGAGACAGTTTATGGGACAGGTATCGCTCACACGGAGCGTATTACAAAGATTGTCCAAAATGTTCACTGATACTCCAAAGGGCAAGTCTACCCTTGGGATCAGAGATCATTAATAGTGTTTGATAGCTAAATTCTTGGTGGAACTGGGAGACTCTTAACTGTGTAAGTGAATATAAAGAATCTGATGTATTTAACTATGTGAGAACAGCATAAAAGTGAGATGGTTCTTAAGTGTAGAGCAACAGTTCTACCTCAGAGATGTTCAGTACATAACTCAGGTTAACAATACTGGAGGATCACAATGTGTCTTAATCATCTGTTGGACACCTCAGCTGAATTCAGAGTACTGTCGGTCTCTATCTAGCTCCATGCTTGAACTAGTACATTGTGCTGTCACAGCATAATATTTTAAATAGTGTCTGTTTAAACATGGCAATGGGATACTGAAGAGTCAAATACTGGGTAGCAAATGTCTCTTTCTTTTTGTAGTTTGCTTGTACCATAAACCATATGTGTTTAGAACTAGACTTAGAAAACCATTTCTATTCTTATACTTCCAGGGTCCAAGCCATTGCAATAGGACAGGCATTGGTTGATGGCCGCTGGCTGGAATGTGTCAGTCATCATGATCAGCTCTTCAGAGATGAATATGCTCTCTACAGACCGTTACAGGTAAAAGGAGGAGGAAAGCTGAAAGCTGTGCTTCTTGCTGGGTTTGGCTGCGACTAGAATCTTTTCCAATCCTGTTCTCAAAAGCTGTGGTATGTTTTCTAAATCAGCTGTCCTTACAGAAAAGGTTCAGGCCTTTTTCCTTAGTGGGTTAAAGCCTGCAGAAGTTTCATTTGCCCAGAAAGCTTTGGGGCTGTCCTCTGTGGAGGATGATTTGTTACATGTAGTGCTCCCTAAAGTGGAGGAAAGGGCCTTCAGTCTAGGCCAGTGCCTCTCATGGTGGACATCTTGCACAGAGGCCTTGAGATGGTACAGTTTGTGCTTGTGGCAGTTGTGCTGTCATGTGCAGAATCTGGAATCTTTGGATCTTCTTATATAATGTATTAGTAACCTTCGTCTGAACTCCGGTGGTGGAAGTAACAAGGAATTCAGTATCTTAGCCACATGGTGCAAGTTTGGGATGAGGTGTTTGTTCATACCTCCCAAATAGGACCAGTTACCTGAGGAGAAGGCAGGGAACTAGTGACCAGGGATGCTATCCTACTGTGTTTCATTGCAACCAAACTTACCGGGGGGTAAGAACAATCGCTGGCTGAGTGATTGTACTGGGCTTTTTAGCTTGAACAAGATATCTCTGAAAGCATTCAGTTGTTTCATGTTCTGCAGCTTCTTGCAATGAAGAATCTCTCAGCTCTTGGATGCAGTTGTAGGATCTTCCATTGGGTTTGCTCTGGCCTTCATCTGGCATCCCAGCTAGTCAACTGCAGTGTCTCAGTTGGCTCGTAAAAGCTTACCCCTAACTAGCAAGTGTTTATGGATCCCTGTTTGGAACTATTTGTAATTATATGTTTAAAGCCAGTTCTTGTTCTTGTCAGCTGAAAGCACTGTCTGATTTAATTTCTTCTGGACAAGAGTTAGGAGAAATGGTGTTGTTGACTAAGTTGTTGCTGCACTCACTGTAGCCAAAGTAATGGCCAGTCTTCGCGAACGAAGAACTGGGGAAGGTCTTTACACCTTCCAGCCTGCGCATTGGATTTTTTAGGTGAGACACAGTGTGCGCGGAACTGAGCCCACCCTTTAATCCTGAGGTTCATCTGCCAGGACCAAGCAAGCTTGGACGGTGGCAGCGAGGTCCTCAGGACGTTGATGCCCAAAAAAAAGCAGATTAAAAAAACTGTTTAGACAGGGTTTTATGTCTAAAGCAGCAAGGTATTTATTGATTAACGGCCGGGCAGCCTGCCAGCTAGTGCTGGGAAAACAGGCTCCGAGTTGGTTAGGTTACAGTGAGTATTTTATACAGGTTTGGCAATGATTACAACATAAATTACAATATTCATAACAGGTGGAGTTAGGGGCAGAGATTGAGGCGTGGTTTCCATTTTGAGGAATATTATGGTGGGAGATCCTGTTTGCCTTCATCCTGGGGGCTGCTTTTTAATCCTCATCCTCACCTGACCTCGGGGACCTTTCGTTCTTTCTATTGTTTTTATGTTCTGTTCACTGAGGCTTCAAGAAAGTCTTGGCTTGGGGCCTATAACACCTATTGAGATGTCACCTTGGCTCCTCTGGATGAGATTTATGGGCGCTGGGTTCTTTGTTCTATGTATCTGTAAATATTTTAGGTCTGCAGAACTGGTACAGAACAAGATCTCCTTTGAGCAAGGTAGAGAAATGGGGGGGGAGAACAGTGGGCCCCTGCAGCAAGATGCTTCAGTTAACCCTTCTTCCTTCAACGTAGATGGATTGCCTTACAGGGCTAACGAGCTCCATCTGCCCGGGGAGTGTCCTGACCGGGAATCGAACCCGGGTCTTGGCGTTGACAGCGCCGCGCCTTAACCACTTGACCACCAGGGGCTCCCAACTGTAGCCAAAGGAATGATAGTGAAGGACTTCCTCTTGAGGTGCAAGGAGGCATCAGGAAGGCTGATGGAAATTACTTAGATACTCCCAGGTTCTCTAGCACTCTGGCCAGGCTTGGCTTTGACAGTAGCCCCAGCTAGAGCCTAACTTGTGATTGAAACTCTTGGGGCTACTTTGGTCAGTCAAAGAATTGTTCCAGTAACTTAGAATTTGGCTCCCCGAAAAGCTGCATATGTTGGTTTCTGGGCAAAGTGTGTGCTGTCACCCACCATGGCTTGGGAGAGCAAGCATTCAAAACTGCTTAGTGGTGACAGAATATGTGCAGTAGAATGAACTTGTTCTTTAGTGCCACTTAGTCACAACTTGTGTAGAAGCAGGTACTAGGCAGAAACTAGGTATGTGGGAAGTGTAAAGAAATACTTGTTTCCTGTCACAAAGAGTTCCTGCTTCATACCAAGGGGGATGACTCTATGACTAACTTGGCTCAGCCCACTGAGATTTTTAAATTATCTGAAATTTTTAAAATGTCTGACCTGCATTTGTAGCAGGCTGCTTAATATTTCAGCAGAGCTACACTTTAACAGCTTTTTTCCCTTCCTTGTATTCTAGAGCACGGAGTTCTCGGAAACCCCGTCTCCAGACAGTGACTCTGTGAACTCTGTAGAGGGGCACTCGGAGCCATCCTGGTTCAAAGACATCAAGTTTGATGACAGTGACACAGAGCAGATTGCCGATGAAGGAGAAGATAACTTAGCCAGTGAGTTTCACCTGAATCTTGTTCTCCCTCTGCCTTTTCCTCTGTTGTCCCCAGTACCTCAGGACTTAGTAGTTTAACTGTCTTGCTTTCTGTGTTTGTGTTTCTGTGTGTGCGCATGGGGCTGTAAGGATCTGTGCTAACTACAACCTGGCTAGTCTTCCTGATTCTTACAATGGATACAGTATTTTGTATTTAGTGGAACTGGTAAAGCTTCATACTTCTAATGAAGGAGAAGCATGTAAATTGCTGCCTTCTGTTTCTCAGGCAGACTTCTTGATTTGGGCCCTACAGCAGTGCAATAGAGAATGTCCAAAATGCCAGCATGCCCACATGAAGATAAGATTAGAACGATGAAAATACTGTATTCCTGTAGTATTGCACACTGGTCTTTATGTAATAAAGACAATTTCTCTCCTCTCCTGTACCCTCGTAACACCCATTTGAACCCTTCTCCTCCCTGTATCTTCCCCTTACCCCAACACTAAAAGACTCCGCCAGCCCTAGCAAGCGCACTTCAGTCAGCAGCTTCCAGTCCACAATGGACAGTGATTCGGCCGCCTCCATCAGCCTGAACGTGGAGCTGGACAACGTGAACTTCCATATCAAGAAGCACTCCAAGTACCCACATGTGCCCCCTCACCCTGCCGACCAAAAAGGTACGAGGTAGTCACCAGCTGGAGTTGCACATGATGGAGAGCTGGGCCCCAGTATTACTGACCTATTTGGACACTACTTACATAGCTGTCATACAGAGGGAAAAGTACGATATTTAACTGGCACTTGCTTGCAGTTTTGATATGTTCACCTCTGAGGACGCTCATCAGACCTGTTGAAACACCTCTAAAGAGTGTGTAACTTCCCTGTGACTTTCTCTTTGCAGTTGAAATAAAGTCTCTTGCCCATACATAATAGGGCAGATCACATACACATTCTGGCTAACTGGGGAGGAAAAATAATCTACACATAAACCAGTTTGATAGGTGTCTCTACAGTTTGAGATGGAACTGAAAAAAAGCAAGCAAAGAATAAAACTCCAAACAACAAAGGAACAAAATTAACTTGGAAGAGTTCTGTGCTGACTTAAAATTGTACCTTAATAAGCTTACATTTTACAGAATTGTCTTACTGATGAGCAGTAAGACCTAACTTAATCCATATACATAATATTTCTTTAGAAGAGATCATCCACTTAAATGAAGTAGGAAGAAATCAATTACTTGGCCTTGAAGACTTCTTTTCAAAGGCTTTTTCCCTAAATAAGTGCTAAATTGAAAGACTCTGTAAGCAAAATCCTTAATGAAGAAATAATGTACCTGTTGATAATTGCATTCTTTAAGTAGCATAAGGGCTGTCTGAAACCAGGACTTGCCACTGGCTTGGGTCTAGTATATTCTAGTTGCTTTATGTGCTGGGTAGCAATTGATGTCTTTGTGCTGCTTCCTTACCTAAGGTTACATCAGCTTTGTAGACTTTGGTCTTTGGCTGCTTCTAAGGAGTTTCTTATGTTTAATAATTGTCTCACCCCACCCCTTCAGTATTTCCAACTTTAAAAGATAAGCCATCATTAAATAATTTGTACTCCTAATTAATTCATTCTTATATAAAGTCTTAACAGGTCTTTTGTGTTGTTCTGGATTGGAATGGAAGACATGCCTTTTGCTTGCATACAGATTACATATTCTGAAACTGAATTGGTCACTGAAGAGAGTGAGGGAGGAGAAGTGGTCACAGCTTACTTTCAAAGTATGTTAGACATGGGGGACACAATTAGGCAAGTTGGAGGGGGCATTTATTGGTGCCCATTGTAGTCACCTTATGTTATTTGCTAAAAATGTGTCTAGAAGGAAGAAAATCTAACTGCTTCTCTTCTCCCCCCAAAGAGAGAAGCAGAACAGTTTCAAAAGTTTGAGCTGATGTCAGATGACTCAGTGGGGATGGATTGTCAGCACTACTGATGGGAACTTGTTATTGGTTCCTTTCAACCTGTTTCCAGCTCATACCCTAATCAAATGAAAAGCTAATGCATCTACAGGGAGGGAAACTGTAGAGAGGGTTAATATATCAATGAATTCCTTTTAGGAAGGAGGGATGCTGGATTAAGAGAGCTTGAAAAAGGCCCAGATGTGCTGCAGTATCCTAAGAATTTACAGCTGTAGCAGGTTTATCGTTATCAGTGTGTGATGGCAGTAAAGTAGGCAGTAGTCAGTTTGGCTCTGGCCAGTGTTAGAGGACTTGTAGGGTGTTAATCCTGGTGTCAGACATATTTCAGTCTTTATCTCCGTATACAAAAAGCAGTACATGATGAAGGGGAAATATAAGAGAACCTTTTCCTCTTGGAAACTGTTGACCAAATCAAGGCTGCTCATAGCCAGAACTGAAGCTCTTGTGAGAAAGATTTTGATGATGGAGAGCTCAGAGAAGATCAGCAGCAAAGGCAAGTGCTGAGGCAACTAAAAGTAGAAAGACTTCTGCTTTTGAATTATGTTGGCAGCACTCTGCTAGATTTGGCCAATCTCTGCTAGTGTTTGTTGTCTGTTCCTGAAGCATGTGATCTCTTAACCAAGTTATTCTGTAGGAGTGTAATTTGTTAATAGGAAACTGGTAACGATTGCTTCCGAGAGAATGGATTTCCCTGGAGGGGATAATATCAGTAATATTCCCAGAAATGGGATAGGGGGGAGTTGTCATGGAAATGCACCGTGGAGAAGTAGATATTATCCTGCAATTTTTTTAAAAATCTATATCCTCTGCAAATACAGAGGACTTAGTGTACTTTTTTTTTTTTTTTTGGTAATAATTTCTGGCATGGTAATCTCTAGAGAAAAGACTTAACCAGGGAGCGACAAGTTTAAATGAATGGCAATATACTGAACAGCTAGAAATACTTCCTGGCAATAGGCAGACTGAAACTTTGTAGATACTTAAGTGGGACAAAACCTTACAGTGCATGCTGTAGTGCATAGAGTAGTGAAATACATGACTTCTAAAACTTTGTTCTGGAATTACTAAAGTGAGAGACTTTATATAATAAAATTAATATTAAGACTTTCACCTTGTTTTTCTGATTATCCTGGCTATATTCAACAAAAGATGCCATCTAGGATATTAAAGTATCACAATGATTAGACAGCCAAAACTGGATAGTTAAGCATCTGTGTAAATGGCCCATGGTTATTTTAAGAACAGAGTGCTGTAGTTACTCAGTGACATCGTGTGTTTGCTGCTGTCAGGGCCAGTAACTTCCTTATGACTGTCGTGGACACGTATATTTAACTTGATTGTGTTGACATTATCTCTTGTCCTTAGACTGGGTGACAGTGACTTGATTTTCTTTGAAATAATGAAGTGAAACTGAAGATCATGCTGTCATTTTGAGACTCATAATTTCCTCGCAACTGTGTAAGTTACAGTCATTGGGGTGAGGATGGACAATAGAAAACATCAAGTGCTAGAAGTGCGGGTTAGCTTTGATCTAAGAGGTTAGTGGGTTTCTTCGAATGATTAAGGGATATGCAATGTCCAGCAGTCACAGAGGTCAGCTGCTTTGAAGCAAGGGCGGGTGATGTATCCACCAGCTGTGTTTTAAAACACAGTGGTTTGTATATAGTCTAATGGCAGAACTTACTGTGATGTTATAGGCTGACTAATGTCTGGTGTGTTTCCATGAAATTTGAGTGACTCCAAGTTAGCTGAGTATAGTGACTCATTTATAATATCATCTTCCTAAAGACAAAAGTACTTTATAGTATGTATCAGAATGGAAAACAAAGTAAGATTGTTTTCTGCATTTAAATTATTAAGTGAAAAATTTTAAAGGTGGGGTTTAGTTGCTGTGATTAGAGAGATACAGTTGATATGAGGAACTTCATGTTCTAAATGTTTTTGCAGCCAAATATCCTTGACCCTGGTATTTTTGAGTTGTTTTTGATTCCTGCATCTAGTTGGGAGGGGGAAAGAAAAGAGGACCTGAGTCCATATACAGTTCCTTATCACCACTGCTTGCCAAGTCTTAGCATGCTGTTGCCAGGAGCCCCTTTAGTTCTTTTGAGAACGTACCTCAGTTTTCAGGCTAAAAAATTTGCTACAGGAATATCCGCCATCCCCCTTTCCCATTTTATGGAGCATGATGCAAGTAGGGATGATGTGAGGTAAGAAATGTGCATGTTAGCCCCTCTAACCATCTCAAACTCACACCTACAAGTGTGTTATCTGTCCAGTCTAAGACGAGGTGTGATAGCTCACCTTATCAGAACTTCCCTGGGGCCTAGTCAGAAGTAGCTGTAGGAGCTGAAGCTGTATTGGAGAGAGTAGTAGAATGGCTTGAGTTGGATGGGACCTTAAAGATCACCTAGTAATCTAGAATCTAAATTATTAGAAATCTAGAAATGTTCCTGGTTTGGAGGTGCAACCTCTCTTTTTGTCCAGAGCATAACTAAGGTTAGTTTTCAGCTGAGGATAACTCCTGCTTTGGCTATGCCAGCCAGGGATGTGTGCCAGGCCTAATTGGAGAGTGTTTACAGTAAGAGCTGCTGCCCTGAGGCTGTTGCAGGAGGAGAGGGATGGAGGTACTATTATACATGCTCTTGTGTAGGTAGAGTGTGACATGACTTTCTCTAGGTAGTCAAGTGGGGCTGTGGGTGAATGAATGCTGAGGGTGATCCAGCTTTTGTTAAGTAGTTTATTGTAGTGCTGAACTCCTAAACTAAGCAGGAGATTAAAGGAATCTGCAAATAACCAGTAAGCTGCAAGGGAAGCTTATAACTTCTCTTTGGTACATTGATCCTCTATCAAGTAACTATTTGTAAACGAGTTAGACTTTTAAAATGATGGAGTGTAGGGGGCTTCCTGAGTGCTGCTCCTCAGAGCCTTGTGATTGCTTATGTCCTGTCAGCTTTCTGTTGCTTTCTGTTGGTGGTTGAAAGCAGCCTGGCTTTGCATTCTGTTTGTGGCAGTAGGTCTGGACCATTGAGGGAAGGGTGATAAAGGGTTAACTTTGAACTCCAGGTGATCTTGCTATACAAGCAATCGGGCTACTGCTCTTTTTTTCCCCCATTGTAGAATCCCTTTTTGTGTAACTAAGGAACCAACTAAAGGCACAACAAGCTAACAACCTCTGGAGAAAACAAGTGTTTTGTAACCAGTTATCATGAAAAATCAAGATCTAACAAGCTAAACAAGATTAATAGATGGAGCTTCATCCTATACATACATCCTTCACATACATAAAGTGATATATGTCTTGCTCTGCTTTGTTGCACGGAGTCCACCTCTGTCAGCACAGTTTCCTCAAAACACTTTGAACTGTTCTAGAGCTTAGACTTTTAGCTCTTGAAAGGCAGCCTGTCTTTTGTTTCCATTACTGTGTAAGATGAATCTTGTGTCTGGTCTCTCCTTCAGTCTGAGATGGTTCAGTGGAGTGGGAGCCCAAAATGGTTTCTATATTTTTAGACCAGAGTGAGGAGGCTGTTCCCATGGTATCTGCTTGCATTTTAACACATTTGTGTTCAGGTCTAGAAAAGGGCGGTCTGGGAAAAGCAGACTCAACTCTTAGTTCAGCCTTTGCTCATGTCTACTTTGTTTGTTTTGTTTCTTCACATTAATAAGTACTATTTTCTTGCCATTGTGGAACTTTTTGATAAAACGAGAATGAGAGGAAATTCTTGTCTTAACCACTCCTCAAGCTGTTGCTAAGTTGGTGACTAAAGACTTAGATGAGTAATGCTGCTTCTTCTGGTGTGGGCGTGTACATTGCAATTATATGGACACACCAGTGTAACCTGTCTCTCCTTTTTTTCTCTTTGTCTCCGCCTATCTCCTTCTTCTCTCTTCTTTCAGAGTACTTGAATCCTGAAAACGGAGGGCAGCAGATGTTCTCTATAAGTGATGCTTTTATAAAAGGTAAGGAAAAACTTCAAATCTTGCAATTGTGCATTTTTTAATATAATGATGGAAATACTCCTTTAATAGTGCATTCACCCTTACAAAATATTTACTTGACAGTAAATCTGAACTTATCTCTGGCAAAACTCATGTATAAATTGTATTCTGACTTTTTGAATGCACTTTAAAGCTTACATTTCTTTTGTTTCTCTGATGTCTTAATTTAAATGGAATCAAAGAAAAGCTTTTACTTTTTTTAGAAATAAGTGTAAGTGGCAAGTCTGTTCAAAATTTTCTACCAAGAAACTTATATAACCAATTTTTAATTTTCTGTGCAAGAAACTTATATAACCAATTTTTAATTTTCTGTGCAAGCAAATGAAGATGTGATATGATTAATTGCACTGCTTCTACAGAGTAGCTTAAAGCTTCATCTCTTAAATCTTTCTGGGTTTCCTGTCGTCACCACTATTACTTCTGAAATGAAAGGCCATTATGTGCAGTTGTGAGTTTTAAAACCCTTGTGCCTTCCAATATCATGGCCAGATGCACCTGTGGGCTTTTTTTTCTCCCAAGTAATGCTATTGATTTTGGTGAGCTTGTAAGAGGAGGAAGTAAGGGGAAAGTAAGGAGAAAACCCCATTTCAGTCTGTGCAGCCTGAAAAATGGAGCCTTGGATTAAACTGATGCTTAGTTTTTAACTGAGCTTTTGCAGGAGAAAGGGGGAATTCAATGTAACTTCTGTTAATCTTCTACACAGCTAATTTTGTGTATGGAGCATCTGGAATAAGTTAATCATTTTTAAGAGTCTTTTTTTTCTTTTTTTTTTCCAATAACCCTGCTTAGATTACTGTTGTCTAAGGATTTTGCTTAATATTCTGAGGAGTTTTAAGCTTGAACTCTGAAGGCTTACATACTTGCTTGATGAAAATGTATACACTACTTGCGTAAAAGACTTAAAATATAGTCAGGTATTATAAGAATGTGGAAGTTTATAACTTCCCTCTATAATATCATAATGCCTGTGTGGGAAATAACCTAGTAACTCTTTCAAAGCACAGAAAACTGCTGAAATAAGCTCTAATTTTGGTAATGCAAAACAGAGAACAACTCCAAGGAGTTACTACACAACATAGTGATTCAAAGTGGCAGGCCCCGTCAAACTGAGGACTGTCTTATACTGTTGAAACATACTTTCTGTTTCCAAGATCAGAAATGGCTATAGTTTGTGTTGACATTTAGGATTTTAAAAGTTGTATTCTGTGGATACAGACTTCATTTGCATACTATGAATTGTAGCGGATCATATACCTGTGTATGTGGTTGTTAGGTGGATGGAGATGAGATGATGGACTGAGATGTTTCAAAAAGCTTGTGCCACTTTTGACCGAAGATCCTTGAGAATTCGGTAGAACAGTGCAGTTGCAGAAGAGAAAACTGTCTGCTGTGTGCTGGCAGTACAAGAATTCTGATAGCTCACTTTTCCACTGTACACTTACCACTCTTATACTGTTTGCAGCATCATGTTGCTATGACATCTACCTTAAACTTAGTGTTTCAAGAGGCTTAGACTTATGTCTTAGTAAATTCTTTCCTTTTCAACATAGCCTTTTAGAAAGACACAGGCATTCAGCTGTGACCTTCTATTAACAGGATTTCTTTGTCTCTTGCAGAGTCATTATTCAACAGAAGGGTGGAGGAGAAGTCCAAAGAACTCTTTTTCACGCCCCTAGGCTGGCACCACAGCAATCTGGATCTGCTGAGAGAAGAGAATGGGGAGAAACAAGCCATGGAAAGACTGCTGTAAGAAACGTGCAGAAAAAGGAGTTTGCATATCTTGAGTAAAAATTCCTGAAGCCCCTCTATTCCATCAGCTTTCAGTGGTACTTAATCTACAGTGGACAATACAAGGAACTAATTTGGATTAAGAAAGCAGCTTTTTTACAGTATATTTTGAATGGGGTTTTTCTCTTCTGATTTTTATATATTGAAGTACCGGACCAGAGCTGACTACAGAACATTCTAGGCAGCTGTTCCTTCAGAGGACTTCCTGTATTGTAAATGTTAAGAAATTTACTTCTGAAATATGACTTCAGCTGATCACTGCACAGTATTCTTCTTCAGGAGAAATCATTTTATTTTGCCTTTTTTGCAGGTCTGCTAATCACAACCACATGATGGCACTGCTTCAGCAGCTGCTATACAATGAATCCCTGTCACTGTCCTGGAGGGATATCATTGTACCTGTGGTCTGCCAGGTGGTTCAAACAGTACGGCCTGATGTCAAGAACAGAGATGATGACATGGATATCCGCCAGTTTGTCCACATCAAAAAAGTAAGTTTCAAGCAGTGGATGTAGGTAATAAAAGGGTGCAGCTGTTGGCAGCATCCCTTGTTTGAAGGGAATAGTCCCCTTCCCCTGCTCCCAGCATATTCAATGGTTTGTAATTGGCCAACATGGCCTTTGGATAAGGTGAGGTTCCAGAAAAAACTGCACAGAGGGAACTTTGCATGCTATGAAAGGGACTTTAACGCCCTGGAGCTGACCTCTTCTTTCAGGCTGTAGGCTCCAGAAGGTAGCAAAGAGTAGCACTTTTGTAGTGACTTGCTTCTTTTTTTGGTTTCTGCTTGTTTTGTGCTTGAATTTGGAGATGTACCAAATGCTGGATAAGTAGTTTGCAGAACTCAGTGTAGCAGTCTGTTGCCCTATAACTATTCATTATGGAGGATTCAACTCCTCCCATGCCAAGTACAATGACTTTCTTCAAGAGGAAACTTAATTGTTATGGAATGGTGCATCCAGTTCTGCCAGATGGCCCAGTGTTGACATTGCTGAACTGTAAGACTGGAGTTCTGGCATGCAAAGTGTATTCTGAGAGTCTGATGTGAAACTAGCATTGAAGGAGCTAGTGTGACTGATGATTAAAGATGCAGGCTTATTTTAATTTGGCCAAATTCAGCTCAGCAAGACTCTTTTGCTTGAAAGCTATGTAAGATATGAGGAGAACCTTATAATTCTGGTGGTGGCTTTGTGGCATCTCTTCAGGCAGCATCACTTGTTCCTGCTTCTCCTGAAACTCCAGTTCAAAGAGCAGTTGTTCAGAGCTGAAAGCTCTTCACAGCTGTCTGCTACTTTCATATGCTTGTATTACAATGTCACATGTCCTCTGAAACTTATTATTCAGAAACCTGTTTCATGTTATTACTCCTGTGATTGCCTGTGACTGTAGGTACACCAGTCAACTGTTTTGTGTTCGAATAGTAGGTAGAGGTTTGTTTGGTTTTTTCTCTTTTGTTTGTTTTTTGTTTTTTTTTTTCCTCCCTTTCCTTACAGTTTATTTGTTGTTAATAGAAACAGCATGTACAAAGATATGTGCTCCCCATGACCTATCTAAGTTAGGTTCCCTTACTATGCTCTGGCGTATACCTGGTTTAACAAACAAACATCTCTTGGGAGGCGCGTAAAAATCCTAGAACTTAGTACTTGTTTTCATGTTGTCCTTAGTTTGTTTGGCTTTAAAGGAAAAGAGTTGTATGTCCAGCATGACTGTATCTGATCTTTCATCTGATAACTGAGGGTGTAGCTGAAGGCTGCACATAATTTACAGTACATGCTTTCTGTATTAGGTTTACTGCACTAGAAGATGTGGGAGTGTATGACAGTTCTGAAAATGTTCTTTGTTTTGTTAGATCCCTGGTGGAAAGAAATTTGACTCCATGGTGGTGAATGGATTTGTTTGCACTAAGAATGTTGCACACAAAAAGGTAATGCAGCTTGATTAATTAAATGCTTACAGGAATGCATGCTGTGGAAACAAGTGTGCTGAGACTTGCTTTTTGTGTTGTGCAGCTTCTCTCATTACTCGGGAGGTTTGCGAGCTTTCTCTGGTTTGAGACCCCAGACAATGCTGGTTCTTAGAGCATTTCTTTTCCAAGCTGTTTTTTTTTCTGCCTAGCCCAGAGATTCTAGGGGAGAAACTTGCCTCATAGATGTATAGGAAAACATCCTATCCATCCCTACCACCACATAAGGCATCTAGTAACTACCAGAACTCTTTACCAGGCATTTGTAGTTCTGACTTACAATAGCATAGTAAAATGAGCCTTTAAGGCAAGAGGGCAAGATAGAAATGAACTGAATGGATCCAAGTGTATCAGGCCTTCAGCATTCTTAGTGGTGACTGAAAACGTCTAGCACTGCTTGCTTACTGGACAGTGGCTGTGAAATTCCAACAACTGGATGTAACAACTTCATAAGGAGGAAGAATATATAGTTGAGTCTGCAGGGGGAGACACTTTTAAGGGAGGGTGGGAACAGCAGGGACCGATCATGGGAAGTCTGTCTGTTGTGTATTTCTTTCTCTCTTCTCCATGTGTTTGTATTTGTAACTATTTTTGTGTCTTTCTTAGATGAACTCTTGCTTAAAAAATCCCAAAATTCTTCTGCTGAAGTGCTCAATTGAGTATCTCTATCGAGAAGAAACAAAGTTTACCTGTATTGAGCCAATAGTACTTCAGGTGAGAATATGCTTTTGTTTTTGGTTAAAAAGCAAAAAAAAATCATGATCAGTGCATTCTCTTTCAGTGTGTAAGGTGGAGTAGAGTCAGTGAGATTGCATAGAAAATAGAAAACTTTCCTCTTTGTGTAAGCTAGCTAACTGCTGCAGTAAATGCAGTACAAACTTGTAGTCTTGTGCTGAGGGTTTTTATCTTCAAATTATATGTGCTGTGAGCTCTTGATCCTCACAATTCAGCATTTTACAAGACATGTTTTTAATACCTTCTGAACCTCCTTATACAGTGATAGAGCTAGATAAGATTTAGGTGTGTGAAGAAGTATTTGAAAAGTTAGTGTAGGTTAGGGTTAGGTTACACCCATGTTATTTCTTGTCAGGCTTGAAAAAAAAAATGGAACAAACCCCAACCTAATGAAGTGATGAACTAGAAAATGTCGCTTGGAACAGGTGCCCTGCCCCTGTGAGCAGGGACGTGCCTCAAATATGCAAACACTGAAATATATAGACCTTTTGTTTAACACACTCCATGCTTGTCTGAAAATTGGTCCTTAGGTGTTTGCCAGGATACCCATAACAAGGAATTTGATGCCCTGCTGAGCTTGTATTCTGAGGAGCTGGCAAACTGCTTTTGTGACATCTTTATATTGCACAGAACTTTTAACCCCTGACTGATGTGAGCTGCCGTAATACCTGGCTTGGGAAGCTGTGTCCTCCCTCTAGCAGTGTAGACCTTTAGTTCTGATGCATTGCAGCCTGATTTCTTTTTCTGTGTAGAGTAATACAAGTTTGTGTGGGAGTAGTGAGATGAAGCCAAAAGATTGGCATGGGTAGAAGAGCAATTTTGCAGTGCAAAGCCTTTGGGATGGGACTCCAGGAGCACTGTCCCTAAATACAGATTTAGGGACCAAGGGTGTATGTACAGACTAGTAGAGGCATAGACCATTGTCGTACTCTTCCTGAATGTAAGTATCTCTGAGTGCCAGCACTCAATATTAGCATGTATCAGAAGGTGGAGAACACAGTACTGCAAACTGCTTCGGTTTATGATGCTATGACTCTAGCATCGTTTGAACATGAAGCTTTTTTTAGGTTTGAGGATCTAAGGTGCATATATATATATGTTTGGATTCTGTTGCAAGTCCCTTACTTCACACTGTCATTGGACTATATTATTATGTGCAATTAGGGCTTATAGCAAATTAGTGGTAAACTGGGTGTTCTACCGTGGGAGCGTGAAAATGTGCACGACAGGCACCTGATGGTGCTTTCTGGATAGCCTTTTTCCCTGTTTGATAGGAAAGACCAGTATGTAAATGAAGGGGAAGGTAATAATAATCATTGAAGTGTTGTTTGTTTATTTGTTTGTTTGTTTTTCTGGTGGGTTTGCAGTAGTTAACTGCCATACTTTGTTCCTGTCTGCAGGAAAGGGAGTTCTTGAAGAACTATGTGCAGCGGATAGTTGATGTCAGGCCTAATTTGGTCCTTGTCGAGAAGACTGTGTCCCGAATTGCCCAGGACATGCTCTTGGAGCATGGGATCACTCTGGTCATCAATGTCAAGCCGGTGAGCAATTCCAGTCAGTTAGACTGTGCTAGATCTCTAATGTCACTTTGTAGCAAACACTCTGTGGAAAGCAAAGAGTTGTATTATTTTCTCCTCTAACCAAATCTGGGTACTTTTTTAGTAGTGCTTCTCTTCCAAGATGGCAGTTCAGTTCTAGTTAACTTTGACACCCGTTTGTAGCAAATCATGCCTGGGTCCTTAGAGACTGCAAGAGAGCCTCTATCCCTGTGAGGAGGGTACAGACAGCCAGACAGAGAGCAACTGTGGGAGTTGACCGAGCTCCTGGCATAGCCAGCATTATGCTGACTGCACTGCACTTCCTGGAGGTACCTGGATCTGTTCAAATGAGAAAGTTCAGTGAAGGGCATAATCTTACCCCTCTCCAGAAATATTTACCCAACTGTCTTTCTAAGATTCTTCTATGTTGTGGATGTGTGTTTGTGGGATTGGATTTAACCCAGAATTTGCATCTCTGTGAGAGATTTCCTGGATCACACTGGTGGTTTTTGGTTTATTTTTCAAGATTGAGTGTCCTCTTTGAGTTGTAGATTCTTAAAGTTCTTTCTGTTTTTACAGCAAGTACTGGACCGCGTAAGTCGAATGACCCAGGGAGACTTAGTGATGTCAATGGATCAGCTGTTGACCAAACCACGTTTGGGAACCTGTCATAAATTTTATATGCAAGTTTTTCAGTTGCCCAATGGTGAGTAAAGCTTGGTGTGTCTTAGCTGAAGTGTATGAAAGGATAAATGCTTTGCTCCTTTTAAATAGCTCTAAACTATTGGGTTCTTTGTGTGATCGAGTATTATCCTACTCATTTTTTGTCTGTTACCTCTTGGAATGACAGCAAACTGGCTCTGTACAGAATAGAATGATCTTACTAAAATGAAACAAGATTTTGTATAGATTATGTACATTATTACATATAGAAACAGATTTTAATCAGACTAATTTCTTTCTCTCAAACTGTTTTTTCTCTTCCCACGACTCTGTAGTTTGTCTGTTCCAAACTCCTGTTCAAAATAGGAAGGTTTAATTTCAATGCAGCATCAGATTTCTAAGGCTTTTGTCAGGCAAATGTTGAAAATATTGCAGAATGGAGATTTCATAGTCTGTCTAGGCACTATCCTCACTGTAAAGAATTTTTCTGTATTGAAGTAGAGAATCACAGAACAGCCTGTGTTGGGAGGGACTTCAAAATATATCTGGTCCAACCTTAACGTATCCAATCAAAACTTGCCTTCATGCAGTTTGTGCACATTGCCTCTTGTCCAGTCATTGTGCATCTTTGAGAAATGAAGTTCCTTCTTCTCTGTAACCACCCCAAGGCAGTGGCAATCTGCCAAGGAAGAAGGAAGAAATGCTGCTTGACAGGTTACCAGTGGTGCTGGCACACATAAATGCTGTAGATGCATATCTTTGTGGAGGTGCACTCTTTGCATCTTTTCATAGAATCATAGAAAGGTTTGGGTTGGAAGGGACCTTAAAAATAATTTCATTTTAAGCCCTCTGCTATGGGCAGGTACACCTTCCGTTAGACCAAGTTGCTCCAAGCTTCATCCAGTCTGTCCTTGAACACTTCCCCTTCCAATTCCCTTGCCCCTTCCAGTCTTTAAATTGCCCTCAAAATGTCATAGGCTTTTTGTCTTGTAAGGATGAGCAAATGTGCCTGGGAGGATAATGGTTCTTTTGCTTCCCTGCTGCAGAGTCTCCAGGGGTCTTAGAATATGCTGTTTAGGCCAGCATGTTCCATAGGACCTTCACTTAGATTTTATGGTAACTTTTTTACAAAACAGAGAAGTTTTTATAGCAAATACTTGTTTGCTTGCAAAAATAAGTTAGTACAGTAACGTGAATTTCTACAGCTACTGATGTTACTTGCTCTTAGTCTCTATTACAATCTCTTCAAGTGTGTGAGATACCTAAGAGTGGGTAAACTGTATCCTAACTCCTATGTCTTACTTTTGTTCTAGATCAGACAAAACCCCTGATGTTCTTTGAAGGGTGTCCTCAGCACCTGGGTTGCACTATCAAGTTGTGTGGTGCAGCAGAGTACGAGCTGGCTCGTGTGAAGGAGATCCTCATCTTCATGGTCTGTGTGGCTTATCATTCCCAGCTAGAAATCTCATTCCTTATGGATGAGTTTGCCATGCCCCCTACTCTCACCAAAAACACCTCCTTTCACTCCCTTATTGAGGAGCCAGGAGATGAAAATGAAGAACAGAACCTCTTCAATGGTGAGGATTTCAGCACAGCAGTCAAAGACATTGAACTATCCTCTGAAAAGTTGCCTGTAATCTCTGAGCCAGTGTCCTCTGATGAGGTCAGCTTGCTTGAACCAAGAGGTTTATTTGAGAGAGGTGATCAAGAGAACAATCAGCTGGAAACAGTGTCGTCAAAACAGCAAGAGCATCACAAAGTGGAGTCACCCTTTGCAGTCTTCAACTCTGTACCTCTTGCAATACCTGAAACATCCCTGCTGCCCCTCCATGGCATGGACCAGCACTTGGTCGCTCTGGATAGCCAGGCATTAGAGCCTCTTCAACAGACAGATGATTTGCAGGGGTCCAAGAGTCAGATGAGAGTCTTCAGAGACCCTCTCCAGGATGATACTGGTTTATATGTCGCAGAAGAGGTAACTTCATCTGAGGATCGTCTCAAGACTTACTCTGCAGCATTTAAACAGGAGTTGAAAGATGTCATTCTCTGTATTTCTCCAGTACTGACATTCCGTGAACCTTTTCTTTTGACTGAAAAAGGCATGAGATGTCCTGCCCGGGAATACTTTCCTGAGCAAGTTTATTGGTCTCCCCTCCTCAATAAGGAATACAAAGAGTTGGAAAGCAGAAGGAAGAGGCAATTATTGAGGGATCTCTCTGGACTGCAAGGAAGGAATGGGAGTATCCAAGCCAAGGCTATCCAAATCTTACCTTCTCACGAGTTGGTTAATACTAGAATAGCAGAACATCTACGTGACAGCCAGAGCTTAGCCAGAATGCTGGCTGATTATCGGGCCAGAGGAGGGAGGATACTGCAGAAAAGCACAGATCCCTTTGCCCAAACTAAGGATGTGTCTAGTGTCCCTACTGGAAAAACTGGGTGCAGAATTGAAGAGGAGGAGAAGGGACTGGCCCAGAGTGAATCTTCATGGTCTCATAAGGTAAGACTGAGATATGCTGCTGAAAACCCAAGCTACATAAGTTTCTCATGGTATATAGAATGTGTAGTGCCTCAACCAGAGGGTTGTGGTTTTTTTGGTCTGTTTGTTTTTGTTTGGTTGTGGGGGTTTTTTGTTTTGTTTTCTTGACTGGGACATAACTGGATTTTAGATTGAAGTGCTTTGCAATCATTCAGAACAAGAGATTGCAAAATTTCTGAGAAATACACAAAAGTCAGCCCATTACCAGTTTGATTTGGCTGTACCTAAATGATTTCTGAAAATGAGTCCATGAAGAGGGAGCAATGTTAAGAAGTTTCTTAAACTGAGCTTTTTTGCTCCTTGTATTTGCTGATTTGTACCAGTGTAAGATTTTCAGAGGGCTTAATTTCATGGAAACATCAGTAGGTTGTAATTACATTAAAGTATTTTGATGGATTATAAAAGTTTGGGTGATCTGAAGAAAAGTGAGAATCTCATAATAGAGGGGGAGGAATGTTCTTTGAAATTTCAAAGCATGGGAGTATATGCTTGTAATCCATATTTAAAGTTTTGGTAAACTAGAAAGTAACTAACTTGTATCTGAGGAAAATGATTTTGGGGTTTTATTGAATTATAGACTGTTCAGGAAAAAATGTGTAAATAAGAGTAGCAAAACTGATATGTTGTACCAGCCAAACATTTTGGTCCCTGGGCCAATTGACCCCCATATTCATGAACAGAAGTCACTTTTTAATTGGTGCTCAAATGTAGATCTGTGTGGCTTTGCAGGCCATAAACTGTAAGACTGGCCCTTGCTCTGCATCAGACTGGTTGATGCTGTTTTAAATGTATTCAATGATCAAAGAAAAAGTATTTGGTAACTTCATAGTTCTGTGGGGTGTGGAAGAGAAAACAGCTCCGTTCCAGCAGCAGCACTGTAAATCTCTTCACAGAGAACAGAAAATTGGAAATCGTTCTATAGCCTGAATGAGTAATTGAGGTATAATGTATTGGCAGTGTTTTGAATCCAAGGTGTCATAAACTGTACAGTGATTTGGAGACTTTGGATGTTTGTCATGGGGCTTTTGTTGTTTTCTGTTCCTCTTGGCTTCCTTTCCACAGAAACACATGCATGCGCTCTGGTTTCATTATGCATATTAGTTATGTTGTTCTAAAAGTGGCAGTTAGCAATTATACATAGTACAAGTTTACCTGAAGCTTGGAGACAATGCCAAGTTAATCTGTACAAAAGGAACAAGCAGAGTCTTTAGATAAAACTACTAGAATAGAATTTTGTCAACAGAAGTTGTGTGTGAATAGAGGTGTCTGTAACCAGTGAATGAGTCGATTTCTCTCTACTAGGTGGATTGCCTGAGTCCAGTCAACCATCAGAGGCTCTGTGTTCTCTTCAGTAGCTCTTCTGCTCAGTCCAGCAATGCTCCAAGTGCCTGTGTTAGCCCCTGGTATGAAAACTACTCCTCTACAGCTTATACTGTTGCTATCCCTTTTTTTTCTGAAGTCAAAGTCAGTGCCTACGTCAGAGCAGTATTTCTTTGAGGATTCCTTGGCAGGCTGTAACCATCCTGTAACAGGAACTTTTGCCGAAAGGATTTTGCCTTGTCTGGTCAGGTGACTCCCCAGAGTATTGCATGGCCTCTGTAATCCCCAGGCAGGAGTGAGAAAGCCCAGCCTGAATCCAAATGCTTTAGCTGGTCTTTCACTGCAGGGTGATGTCTGTGTGTGTAGGGCAGCATTGCATGCAGTCTTGTGGGGAAGAGTCTTAGTGTAAACGAACACACAACAATGTCCAGGCCCAAAAATGAGCTTTGTGAGAATCTCAGGATACTTACAGATTGTATTATCCAAGACTGGCATTAGAATATATTGCTATCTTTCTCATATTATAGTTAGCAGTATTGAGAGCTTTATTTCCATCTTAGGGAGCTGTAATTTGTTAATTGTGTGCAACTTACGACACATTTCTATCTCTACCAAACAGGACAGGTCTTGGTGTTTAATCATTTAGATCAAGAGAAAGTAAAGAGAAGACCTTCTTATAGGGAAAGGTCTAGAGTTCCTTAAAAGCTTAGAAATGAGCTAGAGAAGGTGATGATAAGTTCACTAAACAGCAACAATGTGAGGATGTAAATTAGTGATGTTAGAGATATCCGAATTGTGACAATTTATGCTGTTATACATTTTAAATGGCTCGATCACCAAGCAACAAAAGTTTCTATTAAATATTCTAGAAGAATAAGGATTTCTTAATTTTTTTTCATATTCTAGATGTACTATTTTTGCAGCTATTTAAATGTTAGTGTTTGAAGCTTCAAGCTGTCTAGACTTCTGTGCCTAGATATTTTTGAACATGATCTTCAAAAGTGGAGTTGACTTGTATTAGACTTTTAAAGGTCAAGTGTAAAGTTGTTCTAGTAGGACTCTGATCTCATGATTAGCAAACCTCACAGCAGGCATCTAGGAAGGGCAGTCAAGAGGAGAAAAAAAAAATCTCATATACAGGGCTTTAAACAAGCCAGCAGCTAAAGGCCATTGCATGCCTAACAGTGGCAATACTGAGTCTCTAAAGCTGTTTTTTTCCTGTGCTGTAGGATTGTGACCATGGAGTTCTATGGGAAAAATGACCTAACTCTTGGGATTTTTCTGGAGCGCTACTGTTTCAGGTGAGGAGCAACTTATTCTAAATGTTATTCTAAACAAAACAAAAGCTTTTGATAGCTCTGTGAAGTTGACCTGCCACCCTCTATCACTTAGGAGAATAGCATGCGAGTCTGCAGAGCTGGTTGTGTCCTAGTAAAGGACACACCTAAATCTCTTGCTCCCTTTGCTTTACCATGCTCCACTATGCTATAGTGAAACAGGAACTGGATTTAAGAATTCATTTAGTCGTGCTCACTCCTTACAAGCAAATACATCCATTGGTTTGCTACTTTGGCCCTGTCCTTCTTATTTCCTTTATGAGCAAGTGAAACAGATTATGAAACAAGATTTTTAAGTTCATGAAGACAAATGTGTTCACTTAGCACTTTTTTGTAGCAATTAGGGCTCTAAGGGCCTAGTTAAGAGTCTGAACATGCCACCTTTGTCCTCAATAGCATGTGCTTTGGTACAGTGCCAAAGTGGTCTTTTAATTAAGTGCCAAGCACTTCCACAGGTGCTTTGATCTTTATTTTTTTGATTATATATAATATTCTTTTAGAAAGTGATTCACTGCTTTTGGGACCTATACAGCCATTGCTGGCAATGGAACTTCCTTACATGCTATTTCTAAATTATTACAATTCACTCAACAGAATTAGCTAGCCTTCACTAAAGATTTAGGAAACTTATTTTACGGTGAAGGTAAATAATAGCATCATATTAAAAGGCTTGTTAGAGCTGTTGAATCAGTTCTTCAGCAGTGCCTAATATATGATCATTCACAAATGTTTTTATTTCTCCGTAAGGCCTTCCTACCAGTGCCCCAGCATGTTCTGTGAAACACCAATGGTGCACCACATCCGTCGCTTTGTTCACGGGCAAGGCTGTGTGCAAATTGTGTTAAAGGAGCTGGACTCCCCAGTCCCTGGGTACCAGCACACCATTCTTACTTACTCCTGGTGCAGGCTGTGCAAACAGGTAAGGATGTGGATTTAAGAATCATTGCTGTTCCGATTTTGTATTCTTCTTGTGACTGGCTTCGTATGGAAAGGTAGTATTTGTGAGAAGGTGCTCATCCCTGGAGCTATGGCTAAACTAACAGAAAACCTGTTAATGGTACAGATATTCTCATGTTACCTACAAATTCCTCTAGTAGAGCTGGGAGTCTTGAGGGTGAAACATCTTGTGTGAGGGAGTCTTGTTTAGAAAGTGTCAAAACTGGCTCTGAGAGTTTTAATGGAAAAAATTTAAGTTTTAAATGGAAAAATTTAAGATTTAAATGGAAAAAATAGAGTTGCCCCTGAGAGGTGAAGAGTATGGTCCCTTCCTTGCAGTGAATCAGTACAAGCATCAAAAAATGTATGTGTGGGGAAGGGCAGAATCCAAGACCTACCGTGTTAGTAATTGGCTAAAGCCACCTGGCATTCTTTGATCTGCTATGGACTGAACACCCTGCACTGCGTCACCATGACGTCTAGAATTCCTTTAGCAGTCATTAGAAAGTAACATCTTCGTTAGAGAAATGCTAAATTGCTTTAAAGAAAACCCACAAGATAGTAAGATTGTGTATTGTCTGAAACTTGATCTGTAATTTAGCTAAGAAAACATTGCATCGCTGGCTGAACATTAAGAGCCTTCAAAGAGACAAGACTAAAACTTAATGAAAAAGATTCATGCAGTGCCTGAAATGTAAAACATCTCAATTACCCATGTGGATGATTCAGTTCACCTACTAATGCTGACTTAAACATGGGTGTTGGATTTAAAGATACCTGGAGGAAGTTAACGCAGGTGCTGACAGCAAGCCCTGCACTGCTGTGTATACACCTGCTCTATAACCTTTTATTTCTGTGTGCTCATGTAAACACTAATGTGTTTGTGGCTGTGTGTCTGCTCTAAGCTCGCAGGCACTGCTGAAGATGAAATGCACTGCAAAGCAATACCAGTGCATTTGTAGCTGAAGAATCATCAGGGAAAAGTATATGATGTAACCATTGCTTCTGCCTGGGTTGCTGGAAACTGTCTCTGTGCAGAGAAATGGCATCCCAGATATAAATTTCTATCAGGGATATGTTTGGGCTCCCCCAGCTTAGCACCTGTCATCATCAACTAGCCGTTGTTGTTTTTCAGATTTATTTTAAGTAGGTATTGGCCTTAGCTTTGCGTAAGTGTTTTGTTGTTTGGCATGTTTCAGGGTCATGGGTGTTTCTGGTACTAGAAATACTAGGTTCCTGTATAAATTAACTTGTCCTTAATCTTGTTTGAAGGATGAAATCAAGACGCTTGGCTTTCAATTTTTCAGGTGACACCAGTTGTTCCTCTTTCCAATGACTCTTGGTCCATGTCTTTTGCAAAATACCTTGAGCTGAGGTTCTATGGGTACCAATACACTCGAAGGGCCAATGCAGAGCCTTGTGGTCATTCCATTCATCATGACTATCACCAGTATTTTTCCTATAATCAGATGGTGGCATCTTTCAGGTGAGTTCCACTGCTAAAAACTTCCTTCCCTCTCTAGTACTATATGAAGCATGTAGCCCTAGTAAGGATTCATCAGTTCTGTTCTTCATTGTGAGTACATCATGGGATAGCATAACTGCACTATAACCACAAGTGCAGGATTGTTTGCTGGCTTGCAGAGGGGTTTGTGGTGCCATCACTGTCCTAGATGTGGTGAGCAGTGTTCTAAGAATGGATGGTTCCAGTTCATGACACAGAAGAGAAACATTTTTCTCTATCTAATTCCAAAAGCTTTCAGAATTCTGTTTTTGCAGTCTATGGTTTTACCTTCTGCCTAGGAGATACATGAACAGGGTGTTATTGCTATTAGAAGTAACAAAAGCCCTGGACACACTGACAATGGCCCTTTTCATATAAAGCCCTCAAACCTCAATATGGTGCAGAACTGTTACTATGTGATGTGATTCTTATTAATAGCTGTTGTATTGCCTTGCCAGCTACTCTCCAATCCGGCTGCTTGAAGTATGTGTCCCACTCCCCAAGATATACATCAAACGGCAGGCTCCATTAAAAGTTAATATTTTGCAGGATCTCAAGGATTTCTCACAAAAGTAAGCATTTTTTTTGATGACTTCCTCATCTTATTTATATTTCGTACTTTTATTAGCAGAACACATAACTGTTTTTCCTAGTATGATGAAGTTTGCTAAATATTCATTATTTGATAGGAAAGTAATGGTTTAAAACACATGTGTATATACTTCTAAGAGAGAGTAGTACTGAAATTTTTTTACTTTTACCTGCTCTGTCTGTACTAATTTCTCACATTTTTGTCTGGCGGCAATTCAACTTAAACGTAGCCAGTAGAAATTAAGATTCTTTTGTTCTCCATCCCTGAATGTTGCACTGATAGCTGAGTGATATAGCACGTTTCTGAATGATGCTGCCCGGTAGCCACTGAAAGGTTGACCATCAGCCAATGTCTGAAATGTCACCTTTTTTTAATGAAATGCCTTCTCAAGCACAGCTAAAGTGTTTTTAATTCCTCCCTCGAATGCTAACAACGAAACAGAGGAGGAGGTGGTCCTAGGAGACCTAATTTGAAAACTGCAGATAATACTTTTTATCCTTACCCTAACATTGCTATATGGAGAATCTGACTGAGTTTAAATTATGTCTTCATCCCCAAAACCTGCAAATACGTTGCTCAAATCTATTGTCCAAACAGAACTGTTTTCATTATATTGGTCATGGAGCAACTGAACTCTCTGGTGTATGAAAGTAATTGTCTTTGTTAACTATTGAATATGGTAACAGCAGACAGACTGGTACCGTCTCATAGTCTAAGGTAAACTACCATAAGCCTAGACATCTCTTATATATAGGAACAAAAAGGTGGAAGACAGGCCTGATAAAAACTGTATTAAATCTGGCCTGACTACTGTTCTGCCTGGTCACAGCATTCCTGTATGGCTGATGTCTCTGTGACCACCTGACTTCAGAACCTGTGGAGCTTTGTTTAGAGCTCAAACAGAGGTACTCATTATTTCTGCTGGTGGAGGTATAGCTTGCAGACCCAGATTCTTCTTAGTCACAGATGACACAACAGTTCCCCTTTGTTAGTAATGCATTTGTGACATTTGTATTCCTCTCTGACAACTTCCACTGTTAAGAATAAATTATGAAGACAAATAGCAGTGTGTGTAACTTTTAGGTTTCTGCTGTTACTAATGAAGTTCTTCCAAATTCCTCTGTAAATTCAGTGGGACAGCCTACTGTGTGGGAAGGCTCTCATGTGTTGTTTCTTGTATTCTCAAGTGCTAACCTTAAACACGTTCAGACTTTAATAATAAAGAATACTGAAAATGCTGCAAGTAGCTTAACTGTTTGCATGCCTGTTGACAGAGTGTCACAAGTGTATCTCGCTGTCGATGATCGCCTTGCTTCTCTGAAAACGGATACTTTCAGCAAAACGAGGGAAGAGAAGATGGAAGACCTCTTTGCCCAAAAGGAGGTAAGAGACTATTTTTACATCAGCAGACCGTAGGCTGAAAGGTGTAGGGGAGACCCATTCACATTTTGTGTCATCTCAGGTTACAGAACACTGACAGTTTTTCTTCTGGCAGATGGAAGAAGGGGAGTTTCGAAACTGGACTGAGAAAATCCAAGCAAGGCTGCTTTCATCATCATTAGACACGCCTCAACAACTGCAATCTGTTTTTGAGTCTCTGATAGCTAAAAAGCAAGGACTTTGTGAGATGCTACAAGCCTGGAATAATAGGTAAGAGGGCACACGTTGGAATCATGAGCAACACTGATACTGTGTTGGTTATAGGAGTGAAGAGGTTTTGCTGTACTGTCTTTCGCTATAGCACAGTTTCTCTTTATAGCTTGTACTGAATGTCCTCTGCTGATTAAGACCACAGAGCTGGTTGATTGGAAAAGAAATAATTTGAGGCTATATAATGAAAGTATTGTGTTGTAGAGCACAACTTGCATGTGGAGGAAAAAGTGTCATTTAAATAAAGGGGGGAAAGATATGAAGAGGGGAGCATGGGAGACCAGCTGATGGGGGGTGAAATTATCTCAGAGGTGAAGACAATGTGCTGCCTTTGGCCATTTGAAACATTGTTGCTAACGTGTGCCAAAGCAATCTGAGCTTGCAGTAAAGACTTGTGAAATCATGCTGGCTGTATTCTAGTGTAGAGAAACTTCATAATTTGTGCCAATTAGAAATAGTACCAGTAAATTGTCTTTCGATTAATTTTCCTTTGGTGGAATGTTTTCTGTGGGTGTTTTGTTGTTGTTGTTGTTGTTGTTTGTTCGTTTTTAATTTTTTTCCTTTTTTTTTTTTTAATTAAGATTACAGGATCTCTTCCAGCAAGAAAAAGGGAGAAAACGTCCATCAGTACCTCCCAGCCCTGGGAGACTAAGGCAAGGTGAAGAAAGCAAGGTATGAGTAGCAGGCTAGAAGCCTCTTAAACATTTTTTTTTCTGTGGCAACACAATAGTCTTAAGGCTGGCTTTGGTTCACTGTAATAATTAGTAAACTGGTTTTCCTGCATCCTGTAGTTTTCAACTGTAAAAGCCTAAATTGCATATTAGTTATATGTATCTCTTCCTAAAGATGTGAACAAATAGCCATACTGTACAGAAGAAGACTTAAGTCTGAATAGGAGTTGATGATTCTTCTGTGATGATTACGTCGTGTTGATATGAACACTACCAGCAGAGCGCTGCAGTTGTTGTCAAGTGTATGCCTAGATAGGAATTGGGTCATCTCAATAGACCCTATGTTGCTGTCCATCAGGTGTTTCCCTTGTGAAAAAGAAAAAGCAAAAAATATTGGGAGAGGCAGAGCAAATGATACAGGAAGGACTGATCAAAGTAGGATCACCCCTGCTTTGTGATGTGTTATGTGGGAATGGACTGAGATCCAAATGATTTTGGACTGCTGCCTCAAGAGCTCTGTCCAAGGGTACACTTGCCAGCATGCTGAACATTTACCCTTTGGGGAGCTGGTGCTCCGAGGAAAATGTCTGGGCTGCAAGGCATTCCAATATAAGCATCATGCAGAGAGGCTGAACTCCCAATAGTCCTGATCTGTCATTAACAAGGTGCACTAAAAAACCCCATGAGACCCTGGATTTGCTCTGCTGCATGGATACACATCCTTTCCCCTTAATACATATTTGTGTTAAGGTGCTAAAATAAACTAACCCTTGATCTAGCAGCAGTATGTTCATATAGGGGGACAGCGTAGTGTTTAAAGCAGCATACACAAAGGATAGCCATCGAAAGTATCTTGTGAACCTGGGTTGCTGTTGCCTTGTTTTTCTCCTGTGGTAACAGGTACAGCGACAATTCAGAGGTTGAGAAGTGGGTGGGAGTGCTCTCTTGTGGTTCATCTGCTTTTGCAAGTGTTCCACAGAGGAGGGGATACAGCTGCAAAGAGCTTGGCATCAACATTGGTGTTTTGTTATTCTGCCTAGATCAGCAGCATGGATGCTTCCCCACGCAATGCTTCTCCAGCACTGCAAAATGGAGAGAAAGGTCTGTTACTTATTTTTCGTAAACTACCAAAAGGAGCTTGCTGTAACCCTTTCCCTGACATAACACAGGAGCTTTTGTCAAATTTGATAATTCAGAGAAACAGCGAATCCTCATTGTGTCAGATTTGCTCTCTCTAATAGTAAAATAGAAATTGGTTATCTGCTGATACTATGAAGCTGAATTACTAATGATACTAAACTGACCAGCAAAGGTTTTCTTTTGAACTTCAGCTGAAAAATTTTCAGAGGCTTTCTAAATAAGGGAATTTGGGAAATACCTCTCACCTTTTCTATGTTATGGATGCTGAGACCTCTTCCCTATGAGGCATACTGAGAGTTTGTGGGAACTGAAGGGAGTAGTTCTAAGAGTATGTATTTTTTGGAGGTTATGTGCTGCATGGATTGGCTTGCCCAGTCCTTTGCTCTGTGTGGCTGTAGCTGCTTTTTAAGTAAAAACTTTCTGAAAGTAAATACTGGTAGTAGAATGGGCTGGGAGCGAGCAATATCACTTCTGACAGCCACCTAAATGCTTTCTTCTGTCCTTAACTGTCCTTGTACTCTCAGAGGATCGTTTCTTGACTACTTTGTCAAGTCAGAGCTCCACAGGCTCCTCGCATCTGCAGCTACCCACATCTCCAGAGGTTGTATCGGAGCATACAGCTGGTGCCAGCACACTCTCTGAACAGGATACAACAAGCAGCTCAGAAGGTAGAGTTCAGTTGTAGTCTTGTATTCTTTCTCTTGCTTCTCTGTGGCAAGTGTACAAGATCTGTTTAGGAAACAGCAAATCTGATACCTCTCTGTTCTGTTGCCATCCTTCTCAAATTTGATACTGTGATACAGATTTAACTTACGTTTGTTGCAGATGTGTTTGATGGACACTCATTGGGATCTACAGACAGCCAAGTGAAGGAGAAGTCTACTATGAAAGCTATTTTGGCTAACTTTTTGCCTGGAAACAACTATAACCCCATTCCATTTCCCTTGTAAGTACTGCATAATACGTATAATGTACAAAATTAGCAGCCTGGTCAAATTGCAGACAGAGCTGTGCATGCCATCTTTGCTCAGTATATAATTTAAGTAATTACTTGCATTTGCCTCTGAATAAGCTATAGAACTTCATCAAACTAGGAAGTTTTCTGTGTCCCTTCTAGGTCTTTGTAGGTTACTCACCTTTCTTATTAATGATCTGCCCTCGTGTAAATACATTATCAGTTTCTCCTTAACCTAGCAGGGATATCTCCTCAGAACTCTTGTGGGAGACAAAGGGGTGGGGGAAAAGGGGAGAAAGGTGCCTTCAAACTTCATTGCTGCGGGGAGGGAGTGGAAATATCCTTCCTTAGCAAAGACGTATTAAGATACATGCCTACCTCTTGTTTTTGCTTCCAGACCTCTTCCAAGGGTTGGACTCAAATTGGCATTTTCTGGGTGTAGGTCAGGTTCAATGGCTACTGCATGTGCCCTCAAGTCCCCCTCTCACATGAAGATGGGCAGGCTGGAAAGTCTTTCAGCTACTTGGTCTGCGTGCTTTGTAGTGTTTCTCGTTTGACATGAGCCTAACGTTTGGCAGCCTGGGTTTAACTTCTGAATCCTACCCCCAGGGTAGAAGCGGAGGCCTTGGGCTAATGAGGTAAAAGCTAAAGGACTGGACCCTACAGATAAGTAAAGAAAATCTTACAGGAACCCAGGAGGTCTTGGGCAATTTTCTGTGCTAAACCGCTTGTTCAGAAAAGAGTCCAGGTTCGTCCCCCTCTTTCACTCTGCAGGCTATGCTGCAGGACAGTCAAACCAAACTGAGGCAGATTTTGGTGCCATTAGAAACAGTGGCTGCTAAGCAGACATAGACTCTTATTCTAACTTGGAGCTGGTCTTCTGATATAAGCAGCTTGCTTGAAATGCTGACTGCTCTAACACTCTACCATTTAGAATTAACCGCATAGTTATGAATGTGTCTCTTGGGAGAAGCTGATCTGGGAAGCTTTGGTTCCATGCTGAGATTTGCAGCTTTTGCCTGGGAGTGCAGTGATGAGATGTGGTTTTTGACCAAACTTCTTTTCTTTCCACAAACTTCTATGATCCGCTAACAGTCTGTCATTTTCATTTAGTGACCCGGATAAGCACTACCTGATGTATGAGCATGAACGTGTACCTATTGCTGTCTGTGAGAAAGAACCAAGCTCCATCATAGCTTTTGCTCTCAGGTACTGGTGTGGTTTTGCAGTTCATCTGACACACTTTGTACTTTCGCAGCTTTTGTGTTCAAGGACTATTTAAATTGTAATGGTAGGGGACAAGCATGACAATCTCTTCATTAAGCTGTTTTGAGAGTTTCTGCCACAGCTGAAGTTCCCTCTTTTTACTACTAAGAGATGGAAAGTAGACTTTCCAACTTGCAACTAGATTTTGGACAGTTTTAGTTGAACTCTAGTACACAAAAAATAATTAGCTGTGTAGTGTTCCTTGTAATGAGATATTATTAGAGAAAGAAGTGCAACTGAAGTTGGCTCAGCCTCTCCAACCTGGAGTAAGTACATCTGAGTTAGGGAACAAAAGTTGGTATTGATACTGCAGTCTGTTCCTTGCTACCTTTGGGAGTAACAGCTCTTGCTACTACTCAGCTCTCCAAACCAGCTGCTTCAGGAAACCTTGGGGATTGTGTGTCACAAGGGAGTACATTCTTGAAGAAGCACATTCTTAAATTGTGGGTGGAGGAGAAACAAGGGAAGATTTTTCTTGCAGTATTGTTTAGAGCAGCTTATGGTCTAAGGAAATTAAGTTCTAATTATAAGAAAAAGTGAAGCAGGGATTTTTCCACTGTGTTATATTGTTTCCTGTGGTTGTCTCTGAAATTAATTTTTGGGTTGGTGTTATAGTCTTGCAGAGAACACTTAACTCTTTTAATTTTTGTTGGGTTTTTTTTCCCTTTCTTTTTTAAATTTATTTTCCTTTCCCCTTCAGTTGCAAGGAGTACAGAAATGCCCTGGATGAGTTGTCCAAAGCATCTCTGAAGAACAGCTCTGAAGAAGTACTACAACCGAACAGGTTACATGCAGTAACTGCACTACATAGAGTGAAGAGATAGTGATTGTAGTGAATAAGCCAAAACTAGATAGGGAAGAACCTTCAAAATATGCCCCTGTTAGGATCTTTGCTTTCTGATGGAATCTGACACATTCCATGTAACTAACACCTACTTCTAGTACGTGAGTTTCCATTTCATGTTAGGGGCTGTACTGGCTTTAATCCCTGGACTGTGTGCATGGTAGGATTACTGGGCCTCCTTACCTTTCCTGTGGTGATGGATGGAACTGTTGCTATGGACCCCGGGTGGTTTTTTTTAGGAAAGTGGAGGAGGACAACTTTGCAGAGTCCTACAACGTTACAACTTTAAACTGTGTCTTCTTCCCTTAGCAGTACATAGTGTTAGGCATGGGGGAGAAATAAATGCCCAGGCATAAAGCAGTAGCATCTCAGGTGGCAGTATTTTTTGGGTTCATGACTTATTTTTCTTTCTCCTTTCAGCATGTCGGACAGCAAACCGAAGAGCAGTAGCCCTGTCCGCCTGCCCGAGGCCAACACGGGCCCTTCAAATCGCAGTGCAGAACCAGAGCAGCGTAAGACCAAAATTTTGCCAAAATCGTATCCATACTGCTAATCTCAACTCAGACTTGAGTCCACTTAACCTGGATTCTAGATATGGTGCAAGTTAAATTTGAAAAAATAAAAAGCATTTTGAGTTGAAATCATAACTAGTCTTAGAGTTGACTTCATGTAAAACATGAAAGGTGTGAGAGTGTGTGTGTGTTTGTTTGTTGAAGTCTGTAGTTTTCTCTGATTCTTATAAGATCAGACTCATTTTCTGGATTTAGTATTTGGACCTAGGGTTGTTCTAGAATCTAACCTGTTTGGTACGATGCCTTCTTTTGGCATTACCTTCTTTGAAAAGATGGCAATTAAGATATTTTGAAATGGAGAATATGAAGTTCTTACTGTGTAAAGACGCTTATGCTTGGTCTGTTTTCAAATGACTGCATTCTGGGGTGCTACTCAGAACACTATGTCAGCTAACCACATGGACCTTGGTTGCCTGTAGAATAGCAAATGAGTTACAGTTGAATGACATCATTCCTCCAATTAGAACAATGAATGGGGAATGCTTATACAAGTTACGCTTTTATTAAACTACCCATGGAAATGACAACACCGTCTTTATTTCTTTTCACTGTAGCAAAGAAAACATCTGGTGTTCTGTCTTTCTTCCGTGGCACGGGAGGGAAGAGCCCAGACCTGTCTTCCCAGAAGAAAGAGACCTTACGTGGTGCTGACAGTGCTTATTACCAAGTTGGACAGATGGGCAAGGAGGGAGCAGAAAACCAAGGAGCAGAGACTCAAGGTACAAAACTGCTGAGTCTGTCTTCTCTCTTGGACTATTGGTTCTCCCAAACCTCATTCATATGTGTAAGGCCAAGAATACACTCCTCCTCATACTTTTTCAGCAGTCCAAGGTTACTCAAGTTGCATTGAAAATGAGTTATTTGAATATCAAATGTGGGTTTCTCCTAAAGACAATGCTTTGCTTTGTGATAAGGGAAATAGGATCTTTCAAATCCAAACTATAGGTCCATTGACTCTGGGCTTAAATGTCTTTGGATTGAGTTGACTGCAATTAAGCAGCCCAGTTGCTCTTTCTTACTTGCTGTTTAATTTTCATTGTTTCAGTTCATGGAAAATGAGTGAAGAGAAAAAAAGGTTGGACTTATGTGTCCATGAATACCAGTACCTTTCTAGCATATGTATTAATCATGCAATTGTAGCTATATTTCTAATTCTCTCTGTATTCTTGAAAAAAAAAAAAAAAAAAAGATTTTTCTTGTAATGTCAGTTTACAACTAGTATGTGATGTGGCTTTCTCAGTAACATGATGAACAGCCCTGACAGAATGTCCCTTTATGCCTTCAGATGATGGAGATGGAGGAGATGGCCAGAAGAAACAGCTGGTGAATCCCCATGTGGAGCTCCGTGAGTAGTTGTAAATAATAACTTAGCTGACAAACTCCTTTCTTCATGCAAATATAATGGAAATCTTGAAGTTAATAATTATTTTTTGTTTGTATTTGGCACAAAGAAAAAAGCAGTGCAGTTTTTACTTATTGTAATCAATCTCTATAGCAAAAGTACCCTATAAACTTTTCTTTTTCAGTTGATCTTTTGTCTGATTGCTATCTTATGGCATACACTGTAAGCTTACCTAAAGGGAGTTGACTTTCCTGTCAATTTTCCATTTAAATCCCATTTGTTGAAACTTCCGAATTCCAATAAGCGTGAGAGGGGTGTTTAGCACAACAATGTTCTTCTAGACATCAGTTAAATTTCAAAGTGTCATCTCAGTTAGTCAGTGAGCATTGCATATTGCTATTGAGGAAAACGTGGTTTTTTGCAGAGTTTTCAGATGCGAATGCCAAGTTCTACTGCCGGATTTATTATGCTGGCGAGTTCCACAAGATGCGTGAGGTGATATTGGGAAGCAGTGAAGAGGATTTCATCCGGTCCCTCTCTCACTCTATGCCCTGGCAGGCACGAGGTGGCAAGTCTGGAGCTGCGTTCTATGTGACTGAGGGTAAATGCAGCTTCTTCCCCCTTTGTAATTGGACAGCATTATTTGGGGATGGTGGTGGTTAGTGTGTCATTTAAAGCCTGATTGCCTCTATCCGGAGGGTTGCTGACTCAAGTGGCCACTTAAAAAGGGAAAGTTAGGTGAATTGTTCTGAGGTCTTCAACATCAAATTATTTGTCTTTTGTGTGTGCAGAAGAACAAAATGTAGTTGTGTTTTTCAGCAGTAGCAACTAGGAAGGCCTGTTGAGCAGAAGGGTTATGCTCTCTAAGGCAGGCTTTAGAAAAGAAAAGCTTTGGTATAATTCAAGAAAAACTGGTTACTAAAAACACAGTGTTTCTTCTGATAACATGTGCTATACTTAATTTAATTTTTTTGTTAACTGTGACTGTTTCTAGGCCCCTACTTGAAACAAGTATTGAATGGAAAGGTCTGTAGGCTGTTTCTGTTGTCTGTATAGGAAGCCCATATAGATGAGGTAGATGGAATGTAGGCAGTCTCTTCTCCCTCATTTACTAGAAGGCTGAAATCCAGAGAGGCTAAAATTCTGAAATTCAGAATATATGAAGCAAAAAGGATCTAGAAATGAGCTTCTTTAGGTAAGGATTTAAGAGAATGTAGTACTTTATTTTTCAAACCATTTCAGCTATGTGACAGTCCTAAAGAAATTGCAAATAATACATCACTTATTGTGTGTAACCCAGTTGCCTCTGTCTGATGTTAAAACAGATGATAGATTCATCTTGAAGCAAATGCCTCGTCTGGAAGTCCAGTCATTCCTTGATTTTGCTCCACACTACTTCACTTACATCACTAATGCAGTTCAGCAGAAGGTATTAAAAAAAATTCCTTTTTTTTAGGCAATGTTCTGTATTTTACAGACTAGTAACAGTTTCTATTAACCCTTTTCATTTTAAATAAAAGAAAATGTCAGCGGGTATGAGATACACAAATAATTTGTTTTTGAAATATTAAGTGGAAATTTTTCTAGGGCTTCTAAGCTGAAACACGCAGTCAGACTGAACAGTGCCTCTAATATTTGATTGCTGATTGCCTCTACATAGAGATCTTAACCCATGGCTTCTCTTCACCAGAAGCCCACAGCACTCGCCAAAATCCTTGGGGTATATCGAATTGGTTACAAGAACTCTCAAAACAACACTGAAAAGAAGCTGGATCTGCTTGTTATGGAAAACCTTTTCTATGGCAGGAAAATGGCTCAGGTAAGAACATAGCGTTCTGTTCCCTTGCAGTGCCAGTTGTGACTGGGAGCAAGAGCAGGGTCACCAGTAGCCATCTAGGTAACTTTTAACTTTGCATGTGCTGTCTGTATCTGGCACTGCTCAAAGGTGACAGTTCATGCCTGTTTCTTTCTTATGTGATCCTCATTAACTTGGTGCCTGTATTGACTAGTTGAGATAGGTATCGTGCAGGGTTCAGTTTTGAGAAGTCTTGCTTGTTCCTATATCTCTGGTGTTTGAAAGCATTACCAACCTAATTAGGAAATTACAAAACCTTTTTACAAAGCTTTCAGAAAAACTGACTGTGATTACAGACTGATTTAGAATTAGAGCCTCACTCACAGAGATAGTGAGTTACTGTAGTGGGGGGAACTATTAATGTTTTCAACCCACTGTTCTTTCTTGCAACCACTTAAGGTGTGGGACAAGATTTTGAATTTTCAGTCTTGCTCTTAGTCAAGGAAAAACAATCTTTGTCAGGCTGTAGAATGAAGACCTTAAAATGATTAGGGGGAAATTCTTTTTAAATAGAGATTTAGTGCTGAAAAAGAACTTCAAAAAAGCATCACTACTTAAGTAAAGTGTATCAGTTCTTTCCACCTTACTTCCCAGTGCCTCACCTCAAACAGGGGATGTTTGTGGGAGGAAGTGAAATGAGGGAATTCTAGATAGATGTAAAGGATATTGTTGTGGGTTTTCTTTTTACTTGTTTAAATCCTGAGGAGGGGTTAGGCACTAGAAAATAGAAACCCAGACAGACTCTATTCCTGAAGTGAGTTAAATCTTGACTGAACAGAGGTTGAACAACCTTCTCTAACAGGGCCTGCTTCAAGCAGGTCTTTGGACTGGAGATCTCCAGAGATCATTTCCAACCTAATGATGGTCTGTCTCTTGCTTTGCCAGTGTTAAGAGATGTTAAACAGTGCTTTGTGCGTGACCCACCTCCCTCTTCATTGGCTTTATTTTTGTCAGTATTGACTCTGTAGAAGTTGGGTGGAAAACTGAGTTTACCAAACCAATATAAAAAAAAATTGGGACACCTTTTTTCCCCTATTAGACTAAATAATAATGAAGTTTCTTACCTAAAACTTGTGAATTGAGGTGGCAGAGCTTTCACCTAGGCTTACATACTACTCTCCACTCAGGAAACTAATTCTTGTAGTACAAAAATACTGTTTGTTAACTGTCTTCTTCCTGCAGAGAAGGAAACAGTTGCTCTGCTGTGTGCTGCCTTCTCAAACAGTTAGGTGTGTTGAAGTCTTTAACGCTACAGACAAATGGAACAAAGTAGTGCTGTTCTCCATTTGCAGGTGTTTGACCTGAAGGGTTCCCTCCGGAATAGAAATGTTAAAACTGAAACGGGCAAGGAAACTTGTGATGTGGTCCTGCTGGATGAGAACCTTCTGAAGATGGTTCGAGACAATCCTTTGTACATCCGTTCCCATTGCAAAGCTGTGCTGAGAGCTTCCATACACAGTGATTCCCAGTTCCTCTCCAGCCATCTCATCATCGACTATTCCCTGCTGGTGGGTCGTGATGATACCAACAATGAGCTGGTTGTTGGGATCATTGGTAGGTTGTCTTTTGTATTTTCTTGCTTTCAGATGGTGAAACAGATTTCTTCTGGCTTAGGTGTTTATAGTACTCTTAGAACTGTACCACCACCAGAGAGATTTGTGTCAGGAAATCTTGTCTTCTCCCTGGTGGAATACCCTCTTATGGGTGTTGAAAATGGGGACAGGAAATCTTTCTGAGTCTTGTATAGACTTACTGTTAGCATTTGCTTTGCTAAGAGGATATACAGGAGGCCTCACAGGTAGTGAAAAAGCACTCAAGTTGGTGGTTAACCTACACTTTGACTCCAGTTGAAGCAGGGAAGGTTATTTGTATGCTTTTAATTAACTTTTAAATTTAAGTCATATTTACGGAGTCTTTTAAATTTTAACTCATGTGGAGGGAATCTAAGGAGAAACAGTATTGGTAGGATTGGAAGGGGGAAGTTAAACATCATGGGATCAACTGGTGATCATATAGTCGGACAGGGATAAATGGGTGGCAATGCAGTAATTACCTTGCTGTGTCCCCTGACTTCTGATGGAAAAGTAGAGCTTTATCTTTAGACTAACTTGTGTTGTATAAAGGACTTGGAGATGAGGACAAGTTTCAGGATGTGGAAATGAATTGGTCTTGAAACTTAGCTCATGAATTCTTCCAGATGAGATCTCAAGCCAGGAGGCCTGGATTACTCTTATAAGTAATTTTCAAGCTTGAAAGCCATTTCCATAACATTTCTAATTGAGAATTAAAGTCCCAGCTACAAAGAACTGCAAGTTGTTACTACTTTTGGGCTTTCTAGATTCTTGAATATTTGGGTAAATAGGATGAAACTGTGCTCCTTCTTGTGTGGCTTTTTGTTGTCCTGTGTCAAGTCTTACCTGATTAAAGAGTATATTTTGTATGATGTTTAAAGCTAACAGTCCCTTCACTGTTTAACAACAAATATCTGAAGGAGTTTGTTGAAAACAAATATCTTCAAGAAGAGAGAGCATTTCTGCTGTATCAGGCTATCACAATGTTCTCTAAATGATACCCCAAGAACTTACAAAGTCCTCAAGCTAAATTTGCATTGGACTGAAACTGAAAACCATTAGCTTGGTCTGCATTTGAATTTAAGGTTAGTATCTCTACCTAGCTTAGATCCTAATGTGATACAGGAAAAAGGTTTGTAAAAAGCTTTGAAGACTTTTTTTGTAGCCCTGTTGTGAGGTACTCCAGGTCTTGGGGTGTGAAATGACAGTATTTAGTGCACAAACTGATGATATCAATCCCAAAACACTAAGGAGTGTTTTCAAAGAGTATTCAGATAAAAGAATAAGTCTTATGATTGCTAGGTCTGGCTGAGTTCGTGTTAAGCACAGCTGAGATGAAGTGTAGATACTAATAGTGGCCTTCTGTAAATCTAGAAACAGTAGATTCAAAATCATATAATTACGGTTGGAGTCAAATGTTAGGAGGTAATGATATCCAGTAATGAAAAACTGATTTTATTGCAGCTTCAGCTTTGCAGACTGTAGTGTTCATGTGCTTGTAATGACTGAGCGTGCTTTTTCTGAAAGGGGCTTGGAAACAATTCTGAAGTCATTTTGCAGCCCCCTCTTCCAGTCAGGGTCACTGGTGATGTTTCTGCTCTTCCCTAACATGAAGTGGAAAGCATTTACTTTCTGTTACCAAACCTGTAGGTGGCTGCAATGATGAGAAATACTGGCTTAAAGGGAGAGTTGTCCAAGCCTTGATGCTGCTGGCTGTTGCAGTAAGGCAGTGGGAGCTGTTATGGCAAAGTGGGTTTTCTGGGATAAGGGGGAGCTAAGTGACTCTTGTAAATGAGCCCCTTGATAATCTAACATGGATCAAGACAGACATACCTGGGCAGTCTGTTTTTGTAGAGATGGGAAAAGTTGATTGTGCTCTTGCTGGGCTTTGGAAACAGTGTATTCACCCTATCCACATATAATCAATGCTACAGATAGTAAAGCAACTGGTAGGAAAAACACTGAAGCTCTGACTATGAAAGGCTACTTCTTTCTTGCCCTTTTTGGGGGAAAATAGATACAGTTTAGAACAATGTTACTTGAGTTATAGCAGATAAAACATGTTTGTATGTGATTTTTTTTTTTTTAATTGAAACAGACTATATTCGCACTTTTACCTGGGACAAAAAGCTTGAAATGGTAGTAAAGTCAACTGGCATCTTGGGAGGACAAGGTAAGTCCAGAAGGAAAGCGAAACTTTTGATTGTGTTTTCTTGTTAACTGGAAGCTTTCTTTAACTATGCTAATGAATGCATAGCTTCCCCACTGTGAACATTTGCGACAGTAGATTAAGTTGTCCAGAACAGGGGAAGGAACTGTAGAATACCAAGTTGGAAGGGACCTCAAGGATCACCTGGTCCAACCTTTCTTGGTAAAAGCACGGTGTAGACAAGATGGCTCAGCACCTTATGCAGCTGAATCTTAGAAATGTGCAGTGTTAGGGAATCCATCACTTCCCTGGGGATATTATTCCAATGGCTGATGGTTCTCATTGTGAAAAAGTTAACTCCTGCGTCTAATTGGAATCTGCCCAGGAATAACTTATACCGGTTATGCTGCATCTGCTCCATGTGACTCCTTGTAAAAAGGAAGTCTCCCATCTTCTTTGTAGCCACTCTATAAGTACTGGAACATGGTGATAAGGTGTTCTCTAAGCCTTCTTTTTCCAAAGCTGAACAAACACAGCCCTTCAGCATTTCCCCATATGGTGGGCTTCCCAGTCATTGTATGTCTGTGGCCCTTGTCTGGACCCTCTCCAACCTGTCCACATATTTTTTTTGTGTATTGGGGACCAAAACTCACCACAGTATTCCAAGTGTGGCCTGGAAGTAGTACATTCCAGGTGAAAGATAATGCTTTGATTATGTGATATTATGACTTCTTTACCTCTGCTGCTGCTGCCCTTGTTGGTACAGCCCAGCTGGCTTTCCCTGCAGCAGTAGCAGCACTGTTCACTCATTCTGAGCTGCAGGTCCACCAGGAACCCCAGGTACCTTTCACAGAGCTGCTCTCCAGACAGGTAGATCTCAGCCTGTGCTGTGCTTCTGCATTATGTGTTCCCAGGTGCAAGACTTTACACTTCTCCTTCTGTCTTGTTGCCTTCATGTTTACGCTGTCTGATGATGTAACGTCATGTGACATCTGTCTGTACTGGAGTATACTCTCTAGCCCGTTTCTAACTGCTCTTGACTCTTACACCTTAGGTAAGATGCCCACTGTGGTCTCTCCAGAACTGTACCGGACCAGGTTTTGTGAAGCTATGGACAAGTATTTCCTGATGGTGCCAGACCATTGGACAGGACTGGGCCTGAATTGCTAAGTTAAAGCCCATATTGGGAAACAACAAGAGGGCAGTGACATTATAGGCCACTCTCGTCCAGCGGTCTGTCCAGAGGATTGCAGTTCCATGTTTACTCGGACCACGTGTGTCATGTTGGGAAGTGTGAAATCTGCTTGTTGCACTTTAATCCTCTCTTGGAGGATGATAAGCAAACCTGCCTCGGTAAGGATGTAAGATGTAAGGTACCACAGAACAGCATTGATGAGACATCCCTTCTGTCAGTAGGGAAGGTGATACTCCTTGAAGGAGTACAGGAATGAGATACTGTGCGGATCCTGATGGTGTAGAAGTACATGATCTCTGTAAGTCTTGCACTGCCAAAATGGTGTTGAATGTGTGCAGCTCATGTTTCTGTAGCAGATGCGTGGTACTGCAAATGTGAAATAAACCTCCTGTGTGTGGATGAGTGAGAGAAGAATGAAGTTAATTCATGAGTTCTACTATTGTTGCAGTGGTCTGTAGTTGACCTGTTTAGGATCCATTAATACCTTGTCCTGCTTATGCTCCACAGTTTGAATTTTTCCTGGGTTCTGTGAACAGTATTTTTTTAAGGCAGCTCCACATCTGTAAAGCCCTATGACTCCATCTTTAAGCTGTATTACTGCAGTACAACTCTGTCTCTATCTGTCATAATTTCATTTTAGCTGAGTCCCATAAAATGGGTTATCAGTCATCAGCATACTGCAAACTCCAAAGCATATCCTGTCAGTCCTAAACAGAACTTTGATCTGAACATTGCCCAAATCCCTGGAAACAGGTAACTAAAAAATATAGCCTTTAATTTAACAAGACTTGATTAATTATAGCTATGAAGCAGATTAACCCTTTCCGTAGTAGAAGGCACTAAGTTGCTAGACAAAGTGAAGCATACTGCTTTAGAGTGACAACTTTCTCCTTAATGCAACCATCATTCCTGGCAGATCACTTCAAAGCCATTTCAGCTCCTCTGGACTTTCAAGCAATGCATTTACCTCATTGTGAAGCTTTGCCAGGAGAATGTTTTTCTTGCATTTGTGACATGAATATTTTTTTTGTCACTGAGATGAATGTAGTTGTTGTTTTCTGTAAAAAGGAAAACCTGTACTAACAGGTATCTTGTATAATGGATAAGATGTACAGAGATCTGTGAATCTCTATATTATGACAATAAGCACTTCTTTCCATTTTTACTAATTTTTACCTGGTTTTGTAGGTGATGAGTTTACTTTTTAGTGTCATTATAATATAGGCCAGTAAACAAGACTTTTTTTATGAGTTTGAAAGGCAAGAATACTGTCCTTTGATTTCTAGTTTCTAGTGGAAGGACTTGAAATGAATATGGAATCTGGGGCAGGATAGCTCTTTGTGATCACTTGCTTGTTCTAACCAGTTGCCTGATAATGCCTTGTTCACTGTACTACAGATTGAAATGTGCATTTTCATCACTCCTCCCGTGTTCAGTATTGTCTTCTGCAGCAGATGTTGGTGGCTGTTCAGCAATGACAGCTGGGCAACACTGAGAAGGAAAAAAGCCAGCCGTGAGAATTGAGCTGTTGGCTCCAAAACCAAGCAGTGTGTAGCTCACGTCTGAGCTGCCAGAGGCAACAGTCATTTGTGTTGGAAGAATTCTTCTCCACCCTATTGCAAAACCATACTACAGGATGAGCAAAAATGCTTGAAGCAGCAGAAATTAAAGTATTCTCACTTCCTCAGTACAATGTAATAGTTGTTTCTGGGGGTGCAGTGATGTGTGCTGTGGGAAGATGACACAGTACTCCTTGCTTACTCTACCCAGAATTCCTTAAGTCCAACATAGTACATCAGGTACAGCTGATCACCTCTGGGATACATCTCACCTCCTTTGTTGACATGTACTCCCAGGATGCCTAGCTGTGTGTGGGGCCTTGTTTAATCAGGTCAAGCAGTTCATCAGCTCAGTGCTACTCTCACTTCTGTGGCCTCTACCTTCTGTCTTGGTTCATCAATGTGAAAGAACATGCCATGCAGCCTGAATCTGTTCCGGTCTCAGTTGAAGTTTACATATTTCATCCTCCTTCCCTTCCTAAAGTTTACAGAGAAAAAACTTGACTTTCAGTTAAGGTGACCCAACAGCAGCTAATTATGTTGTCTTCCAGCTTTGTCAGTATGTGGATTGGTTGATGGAAGCACATCAAGGCATCTGCACTGGGCTAATGTAGAGCTGTGACATGCTAGCCCGATCCTGTCATTAGTAGTCCTCACTGCTATGATGTGTGGCTCCTCTGTACTGCTTGTCTTCCAGAGTCTCAAGCAGCTGGCTCTAAAGCAACTTGATCGTCTAATGGTAGCTAATACTCCCCTGTACATGACAGCACGAGGCCCTCAGCACTGCAGAAGTGAGAGAACCTTCCATTGTTTTTCCATATATGTTCAGAGGTGGGAATTGTGACCTTCTTGGGCTGAAGTTGCAGAAGTTGGAGAGATTTGCAGGAGTTACCTTGAAGTGGCATTTATAGCTGATGTTGGGCCAGGATGTGGCTGATAGACTAATCCTGACTAGGCTGGAGTAAGTAGCAAACTACTGATCCTGAGGAAACACAGTAGCTGCAGTATCAACTGGAATTGGGACACCTTTGGGCACCATGTCACATAAAGCTGTAAGCGTTTCTAGTTCAAATCCCAGCAGCTGAATGGGTCTCCTCCAATGTTCCCTTTTCAGAATAAGAGTTGTCCTGGCATTTCAATTGCTACAAGGTTGACTTTCTCAGGAGAGCAGTGCTTCATGCAGAAGAGATCTTGGAGAGAGCTCCTTGGGAGGCTGTGTTAGGTGTGTGTCCCTGTAGAACGCCTAAGGATGAATCCTTTGGTCAGAGTTTTCTTTACAACACAGGTTTAGTATATATGTGCGTAAGAAAATCTCAGTTTCAAACATGAAGACTGCATTTCTTCAGAGCTACACTGGCTGTTTTTCTTCTGTTGTTTTGATCTGAGGCCTTGTGACAAATGTCTAAATCTTGTCCCAGTCAGAAGCAATGACTTAGAGGCATCATGTAGACAGTAGAATGCCTTGTAGTGGCCCAGGGGTCCGTTCTGTCCCTAAAAAGCACAGGGGACTCTTGCTGATAAGGAGTTAAGCTGGGCTCAGAGAATTAAGTTACCTGTGGACTCTCCTCTGGGAGAATGACCAAAACCAAATGAATTGCTCACTAGCTGGTGGCCAGACTAGTCATTATTCAAAGCACTTAATGTACCATAATGTATGTATTTTTATTCTACCTTGGTTCAGCTGTATTTTATAAAATTGATGTACTAAACTATTTGAGAATAACCACCTTGACTACCTGGAGAATCAAAATGTAATGTATATAGATACAAATAAAGTGACTAAAGTACATACACTTGAGTCTATTCCATGTGTGGAGCAGTTAGGTCTCCTAGCAGCCAATTTGCTTGACCAGGCTGCTGCTTGCTGTGCAGAAATGCTGTGCTGCAGAGTGCCAGCCTCGCATGCAGTGCAGGCGTGCCTGTCTCTGTGCCTCGCAGCTCCTCCTCTAATGCAGCAGCACCTCTGGGCAGCTCCCTAGGGCAGTGGCAGTAGAATGTGCAAATAACCTTTCATGCAAACCTGTCTTCTCCCCAGCTGCTTTTCACCACAGTGCTGATCCGGTTTTGTCCAGCAGATGGTGGTGTGCCTTTGCCCAATTTTTCCAAGATGTAGAACGCGTTCGAGGTTTTTCCGTAATCTTAAATGGACTAGAGAAACAAAAAATCCAAGGAAGTCTGAAAATAAATGTCGTATCTTGATTGCTTCATATTAACCTGGTATATAGTAACCTCCTTGCTAAGGCTAGTTCTGGGAAGGGGATTTGTTGGTTCCTACAATATAAAACTCAGTCTAAAATGTAAGGATTTTACCTGTCTTAATGTAAGGATTTTACCTGTCTTATGTGCCATCACTGCTTTTTGCCAGATGACTTTGAGTTCTTTTATCAGCTGCAGTATGAAATGGCATCAGAAGCTGTCCCACTACGGAGGTGTGAGCAAGGACAAGGTGGGATACTCAATTCAGGGGCAGTGTTGCCTTATGCTGTGTAAGTTCGAGTGGTGGGACTTGAGAGACTGTGTTGAAAAGCACAATTGCAGGGTTATCAGAACAGCATTCCTGTGACTTCCACCGCTTATGAAGGACTGCTGCTGCCAATCCAGGTTTTCAGCTCTTCTAATGCGAGGGCTGGCTATGTGTTTGCTTAAATTGTCTCACAGGACATAAAAAGTGTAAGAGAAAATATGATCTTAGTGACAGTTCCGTATTGTTTTCCCAATCTCTAAATGTGCTGTGAATCTACCTCTGAATAGCTGAATATGTACTTCATAAAAAATGTTGACTCCTGATTTCAGAATCAAATCTGCATCTTTCACTTGTCCAAAAATTTAAAGGCATTTTGTTTAATACTTACATGTACATTGCAATGCTTATTTATTTTTAGCCTGTTAGATCCCTGTGCTCTCCTAATGGTTCTGCAACAGAGTAACACAAAGATGTACACTGCTACAGCTCTAATTCTCCACATGAGCCTTTTCTCGCAGCAGTGACTGGAACGGGGGTACCCTGCACTGCAGCTGCACGAGAGTGTGCTCATGGTAAAGAGGAATAAAGTGTAATAGGAGGTACTGCAAGAACATCCACTGGCACTTCTTTGCTCTGTGGCTTCCAAGGTACAGGCACTTCCTGCGTGCTGTTCCAGCCTCGAGCCTGAACAGAAAAACTGAGCACTGCAACCAAAGCTCCCTCGCTGTAGCATATAATTGAAATATAAATGTTGCTCAAGACATAATGGTCCAGCGATCAAAGGTATGATAATAAAGTAAGTGAACATAATTACTGAAAAGAGCATTGAATTATGGTTGAAGAGACAGGATGAGAATATAGTAACTTTTCTCCATTGTTTATGTAGGATATTTTTCTAATATAGCCTCAGCAAAAATGAAACACAGAGTATCCTAGGTATGGGCTCCTGTTACTGAATCAGCTGGGATCTTCTGACATAACAAAAGTAAACTAGCTACTTGATGAAAAAGTTATATGTACGCATATGCGCATAACAACAGAAAGAAAATGTTTTCTTTTTCCAGTAGGATTATAAAGCCTATTTAAAACACATGCTATAGGGAGGAAAGTATTTTCTGGAAACAGGGCCAGGTCAGCCATATGAATTTCTAATGGCTGATCTGTAATCAATTCTGATTAAAGTATTCTTGCTCATGTGTCTGGTACTTGACAAGGTAGAAAAAAAAAGAGAATAAGGTAACTTTGTGACTTCACAGTAGCCTATAATATGCAGAAATTATATTTCCTTCATATTAGTTTGAGGTGCCTTATAGAAAAATAATATTCTACTTTCTGTCAATTAAGCCCTAGAAAGCAGAACCTCTTTAAGGCCCTATTTTCCATTCCAGCTCAGTTGTATAGTAAGAATTCACCAGAACTAATGTGTTTTTACAATAATACAACCCAGTCCCTACTCAATTCAGCTCTTGAAAGTTTTTTTAAACTCTGACATTTAAGTAAGGTAGCCATTTTCTTAGAGGATATGTCGGCTCATGAACCAACATGGCTCTTGTAGTCTTAATAAAGAATAGTCTGTAGAATACAGAGGTCATATACATTGATTTAGGAAACATTCTTCTTTATGCCCAGCTAATTGTAATTAATATCTGTTGGCAGCTAGAGAAGTTTATTAGAGCCTAGAAAGATAGCAGTACAAGGAGCAGTCTGTTCAGTGTTGGGGATAAGTAATTCAGCTGTTAATTTTTGAAAGTGTGGTGGCTTACAGGTAGGTGGATTTAAAAATTAGTAACGAATTCTAGCATAGAGAGAAGACCAAGGTTGAAAGCATTTGAGCTTGGAACATCACTGTTTTCAGATGCCGAGTTTCAGTAAATGAAGTAAGTTCTTTTTGTGCGTTCCTGGTGAAAACTTTAAATATTAAAACCTTTTTTAAGTCTCTCTATAAACTGAAAAAATACTTTGGAATTCCACAACTACTTAAATGTGAAGCATGCCCATGAATGGAAAAAAATCAAACTTGCCAAGTTTGATCAAAACATGATCTTTCTAACTGCAGACCATATAAAACCAATATGTTGCTTGAAACTTTTGCTACATTCTCTCTATTTTTATACATCTTAGCAGCAATAGAAACGAAATGAGCTAAATGTCTTTTAGGATCTTTGTTTTTAGGATAGAGCACGATAACTAATCAATTCAATGACACTTAAACGGCCATGAAAGTCCTTCTTTTAACTAAAATAGGATGCTAGAGATAAATCTAAAAGTCATTAGACTTCTGTGTCTACTATTCCCCCTCTTGTACAGCATACACGTATTTTGTGTTGCCCTTTTTTTATGAGTGTGTAGTAACATTAGAAGGAAAAGGCAATGATGAGCCTCATGGTCTGCTGTTTGTCATCTGAGAATATGCCAAGGCTGCCAGTTTACTTCACACCCCAGCAAGTCCTAAGCAACAGGGGCCCTTGGGGGTGTTCTTGCCCTGCTTTGACTCGACTGAGCCACTTTGTGTCATCCAGTCAAAACCCACAGGTCCTCACACTTGTCTACTCAGTTGAACAAGTTACACTAGAGTGAAGGAAGGAGTGAAGAATAAGGGATGATAAACACTTATCTACAGGTAGCTACAGGGGGAAGTGGAACAATCTTGGTTATACAGTGAGAGTAAAATTGCTATTCAGCCTTGGGATTTGAGAGGAGGATTAAGGAATGGTGGAGCATTATTTAAAATTGGAGCATTCACTCATGTACTGTTTCATTTTCCACTTGGTTTATTGCTTGGAAAAATGAAGTTGAAGGTTTTTCTTTTGAAATATGAAATTAAATTTAAGTATCAAAGCAGTTACTAACATGACTATAATTTGTTTTGAACTTTTTGGTTTTGGGGGTAGGGGAGTATATGTCAAAATATTTGTTGACCAATACAGGTTGTCATTGCATTTTGAAAAAATTTGGATTATTCTGTGTGGTTTGGTGGGTTTTTGTATTTGTTTGTTAGTGTTTTTTTAGTTGGTTGGCTTTTTCTTTATTGTAATTTGATTTCTGAAGAATCAGGCTATGCTGGCACCTCCATGATTCTACAGGAGAAAACTGAGGGACCTGGTTAATTCAAGATGTTCTTATTCTAAAATAGTGCTGCTCCACTGGTCTTGAATAACCAATTTAAACTCTTGAGTAGTAAAAATCAGATCATGCAAATATGTGAATTTGCCCTTAGAGAAGGCTAGAGATACAGCTATGTGTAAAAGCTTTTATCTATTTATTTGTATGGCTAGGAATTAAGGCAAGATTTTATTACCCACTCCATCTTCCCCCCAGGCTGCTTACTGAAAACCCAGAAAGGGCAGCTGGCAAAAAAAACCCCATGAAAACTTGGAAAATCTTAGAAACTTACATCAACCTCCAGCTTTCATTCTGTTCTGAAGATTATTTTCCTCCATACACATCCTTTTGGTCTCAAGCTTAGAAATTTAAAACTCTGGATGCAAAGAGGGTATCATGATGCAGAATTAAATCTTAAAAATGAACTTTACTGATATTTAAACTAAATCCTTTCCCCCACAGTCTAAATTAATGTTGAAACCAGTTGCCCAAAGTAAGTCAGGGTAGAGAATATTTTGATGTGGGTAGTAGTGTTGTCTTCTCATAGTATTTACCTATATTGCTTCAGATGACTGGCCCAGAAGGAAGTGATGCAGTAACTTTTTATGAGGAACTGAAGTATGACTAAAGCCATAGCAAAACCAGAAAGCTCTGAAGTTACAGGCATCTTATGGAGGAGACTGTTCCAGTAAGCAGTAATAAGAAAGAAACTGAGTATAACTAGGCATAAAGAAGAAACTGTACAAATGCCAGCACTAGGTTATTTTTAGTAGATTTTTAACAATAGAATCCTAGAGGATGTAACCATGACCTCATTCTCCAGCAAGAGAGTACAGGGTGGGAATTGCAGTTACAGTGACATGCAAAAACTGACCAAAACAGAATTTGTATTAAAATTCTAATTTTTGACTGTGATTAAATTTGAAGTTTGATTTGGATGGGGGAAGGGCTACTTTATTAAAAATAGATGCAATATGTTCTTTCTCAGAGTAATGTGCCGCAAAACCACAAATCAGTAGAGGCAACTCTGACCATTTCAGTGTGCCAAAGTTACTTGAATCTCCGTTCTTGCTGCCTTCTTTATGAAAAAAAATTACTTGTAGATAACAATGTATTTACAAATCTGTAATACTCATACTACACTGACTAGTCGTGCCAGATCTAAATATATCGAGAGCAGGAGAGAAGTCCATCTGACAAGTTCTCAGCAGCATTTTATTGAA